GCTTTCTTCCTCTTCAGATAACTAATGTGGATTCTGCTGGTAAAAGCAGGAAGGAAATAAACAGAGAAAAAAAGTAAACAGGAGGATGTAAAAGGAGCAGATAAATATGCTGTGCCATGTGTTTTAGGGACACACTCCCTGAGCAGGGAGGTGGGACCAGATGACCCACTGTGGTTTCCTTCCAACCTGACCCTTCTGTGGTTCTGTGATTCCTTGAAATGCTCCTGAGTTGTTTGCAGGGGGGTGTGTGTAGAGCACAGTAACATCTGGTGCTCTGTAAGCACATCAGACTGATGTGGCTTATCCTGGAAACCAGATTAATGCAATAAACAGGACAATGCTGAGGCAGAAATTAGGAGCAGCTGCCCCAAGTGAGGCTGCGTGGAATAAACTGTAATGAGAAGGCTTTAAGAGACAGCAGTTGAAACTAGGAAGGGTCTCTGAGGTGTCTTGCTCCTGGTAGTGTGCAGGAAGAGAAGAAATGGAGAATGTTGTATTAGCATGACACACCTGCTACGTGTAAACTGTGATTTGAAAGTATGGTATATTCTGAAAGCAAGTTACTTTGCCAAAAAAATAATGTTGATAGTGCTTTGTGCTCCTGTATGGCTGGTTTAGAAGAAAGTCACTTCAGCAGCTTTTGTATAGTGGTTAAAAAATGCTAAAATGTGAAGATTAATATAATGAGATGGACTGTAATTCTAAACAATCAGTGCTGTTAAATTTTTTTTTTCATTTTTAGTGTTGTTTTATGTGTATTTATTTACTATTTTGAGTGTCTTTGTCCTCAGTTCTTGGGCAGCCTGCCTGTTTTGTGCACAGACAAAAACACTGGCTGCTGACTTTGGGCTTTTGCATCCTTGCGGGAGAGGATACTGAAACAGGGTCCCCCTGAAGCAAACACTAACTTGCACTGTGGCTTTTTAAGCTGAGAAATTGTAAATTCCTTATCAATCAAATGAAGAAAGACTGTTTTATTACAGCTTGATGCTTTTCCTTAGCCCTTATTGCAAGTAGGTTACACAGCCCTCCCGGTGAAGGTAAAGAGGAATCTGCCTCGGGAACATCCTCAGCTCCTCGAAGGTCGAGTTCTCCGCCTTTTCCCACCAGCAGAGACTTGGTCCTGCACCAGCCAAGGATGTTTGCTGAGACAAACTGGTTTTATCTTTGCTGGGATGGATGTTAAGCTTCTCTACACCCCCCCCTCACTTCATCGCTGCTTTTTGTCCATCCCCAGTCCCAGTGTAGCTCAAGAGGAAAGGCAGAAAGGTGTCTGCAGGCTCTGGAGGAAACTTCAGGGATTGATGGGTTGACAGGAGCTGTTCCTGTGGAAGCCTGCCCTGGCCTGAGCAGTGGTGTCGCTGCTGTGTTCAGGTCCTTTGGGTGCAGCCCTCAGGCTGCTTCCACTGATCCCACCCAGAGCAGGGCCCAGCCCAAAAGGTGACTCTGCTATTCACCTGTATTGCAGGGTAGAGTTAAAGGGGGTGATGGAACACCTGCCTGCCCTCTGGCTTCCTGAGATCCCTAGAAAACCCTTCCCCAGCATATTGTGTTTAGCAACAGAAATTCTTCAGTATTAGTAGCAGCTTATATTGGTATAGAACCCCTTGAGATAAGATGTTCACCTTTTTAATGATGAACTCTTATTCTCAACGGGTTAAATCATCCTGGGCTGACACTTGCAAGATTTTAACACGGATGGGGATTTAAAGTGGCTTAGCAGCAATGAAATAAAATCCCTCAATAGTGTCTGATGCTTAAACAGAATTTAAAATATGCATGACTTTCATTTTTTATGTGGAGGTTGTAACAAGCTTCACCAGAGGTTAAAGTACATCCTTGGTACTTTAGTATGTATGTAGAGACTATGACAAATGGCTCTAGGAGGGTCTTTATGGGCTTTAAAGCACATTAATAAAAAAATTATGAGGAAAAATCTGCCTTGTATCTACAAGATCAGTGTGGCTTTGAAGAGCATGACTTGTGTTGTCTCATACAGGGAAGTGGGAAAGCAGGATTTTATTTATCCCTCTTTAGTAGAACATTCCTTTGCCATATCTGAAACTAATGAATGTAAACTTGTGCCTATTTTTTTCTTGATTTCCTAAAGGTGTAAAAATCTGTTCTTGTTTTGCTTTTATCTTTTTCTTTGCAGCTAATTTTTTAAAAATATCTTTAATCTTAGGATGTGGGCATTACAAGTAAAATAAAACTTTCCTTCATGATTGTGGTTTTTGTTCCTAAATTTCCTGGAGAAACATGTTAGAAACTCAGTCTATGGTTTCTTATTTAGGTGACAGTTGTGGTGGCACCTCTGCTGCTAGGGCTAAAATGAGGAACTTGAAAGGTTTAAGTGTAAAGTTAAAGGGTTTGATTGCATGGGGAGTCTTCCTGGGTCTGCTGAAAAGTCCACAGATGAAGAGGGTTATAAAATAAACAAAACACCTTGTACTTTGAGCTGTGGTTGGAAACTGTGGGGTTTCATTTTTCAGATTTTTCTGTGGTGGTTTGGCTGTGTTGGGGTGTGGTGTGAGTAGGCTGTGATGAAGAGATAACAGAAATCCCAGTGAGGAGCAGAACCTCTTAAACATTGTCCAAGTTCCTGCAGCATTTACCAGCTTCCCAAATTCTGTGAAACCCAGACTAAAGCCTGTGGGTTGGTATCAGAGCTGCTTATCTGCTGAGCAAGGCAAGAAAATCATCTTCTTGCTCTCCTGAAACAACTACAATGGATTTAAATACTTTCATTTTCAAACGATAGAGAAACCAGACTGAATCAGAGTGGCTGATTCTTCCACAGTGATTAAAATTTCATCCCTACGCTTAAAAATAAAAAAAGTAAAAACGAGTCTCTGTTAGCATTAATGCAAGCCTGTCATGAACTCAGATATGTGCAAATAAAATGTTCATGGATAGGGAAATTTTTGTCTCATGCCACACCCTGATCATTAGTTGAGAGAGTTAAAAGGAGTTTATCTCAGTTTCCATGGAGTCAGACTCCACACTCATTACAGCTCCAGAGCAGCTTTGTGCTTTCTTGTGCTGAGGCATAGAGCAAAGGCTGCTCCATGTATTGACACTTTTTTCTCCTGTTCAGGAAGGAGTGGGTGAATACAGCAATGAAGCCCACAATTTTCAGTACTTGTCATGGTACATAGATCAAATGTAATCCACTCTGCCAGCATAACTCTACATTCAATAGCTTGGAAAGGAGGAGATTTATTTAACTTGAATAATGAAAGGAGTAAATCACTCATGCTCCCTCATAGCAGTCTTCTGCGACGAACTGAGCTCCTGCAGTAAATATTTTCTCTTTCTTTCCAAATAATAAGACTTTAATACTATTTTACTTCTTGAAATGCCAGGGAGAATGTCAGCTATGAAGAGCTTGTTGAAATTAATGAGACATAATCATAATTGAAGAGGGTATATTACAACTGATGGAAAAGGAGTTTTCTACCCTTTTTGAAATCTTAATTAATGGGCTAGAAATCCTGGTCCATGTGCTTCCCTAATACAAATTAAAGGCAACCCCATGCCTTTGTTCATCACTTCTTGTGGGCCTCTTGCATATTTATTTTTTATATATCTTTTTTTTTTTTTTTTAATATTGAATTAACTTTGGTTGTTTGGTCTGAAGGTGGATTTGCCTTCTGAAAGCTTTTCTGTCCAATGCTGCTCCATGTTCCGCTTTTCCTGAGGCTCCTCAGGTAAGTCTTATTTCTGGGGTCACATATGGGAACATTCCTTTTGGCTTGGTCTTCAAAGTGATTTCAGTAGTTAGAGGCATTGGGTGGGAGGGGAAGAAAGTATCACCTGGACTAGGTGTTTGTCTGGCCTTTGCAGAATCTTTAAAGGATTTTCTGCCAGGACTTAGGAAGAAATTGTTCCCTGTGAGTAAAGCCAGGTTGGACAGGGCTTGGAGCCACCTGGGCTCTAGTGGAAGGTGTCCCTGCCCATGGCAGGGGTGAAATGAGACAGGCCTTAAGATGCCTTCTCAAACAATCCATTTGATGACTTTACTTCAGGTTTTTATTTTCACGTGTGCACACCCACATGGGAGCGGGTTGTTCTTTACACCTGCGGTTCCTAGGTGTTAAAAAAATCCAAATATTCACTTTCAACGGCACTTGGACGTTACCAGTGAATCACTTCTGTGTGGGACAAAGAGAAATGTGCCCAGGATAGGGCAGTGATGTAGATGCTGTGATGTAGAGCTGAATGTACTAATACCCTTCTGAAATGAACGATTCTCATTTAAATCCTTTTTTTTTTTTCGTTTTGGCATTTCGGTGGATTTTTGTTTTGTTTTGTTCCTTGGTTTGTTTTTTTTTAACAGCAACTGTGGCGGCTGCAGAGAGGTGTGAGGGCAGCCCGGGCGGCACCAGAGCGGGAACCCGCGGGTGTGAGGGATGTGAGGGAAGCCCGGGCTGTTCTTGCCGAGGTGTGAGGGAACCTGGGGCGGGTCGCACCGGGCGCAGGGATGTGAGGGGAGCCCGGGCTGTTCCCGCTGAGGTGTGAGGGCAACCTGGGGCGGGTCGCGCCGGGGGCAGGGATGTGAGGGGATGTGAGGGCCGTTCTCGCCGGGCTCTGGTGGGGAGCCCAGCCCGGCCATTTTCCGCTGTAGCCCCTGCCTCAGCGCCCCGCGCCCGCCGCGCCAGCACCGCCGCTGATTGGCTGAGAACTGGCGCCAGGACGAGCTGCTGATTGGCCCATCCGCATGGCACCGCTGGCCAATGACGAAACGCCGTGCAGCCCGCCTTTCCTCCAACTGGCTGTAACGCTCCCTGTGCCCGCCCACTGCCGGGCCGCGGTGCCGCCAGCCGATTGGCTGAGGCGCTCCCCGGGCTGGATGTTTAATTGGGCGGTGCTGGGCTGCCCGGCGCCTCACCTGCTGCGCGCCGCCATTGGTCCGCCGCTCCCCGCGCCCCCGCCCATTGGCCGCACCGCCCCTCAAGAGCGTCCCGATTGGCCGTAGCGGCCCGGCCCGGTATCCGGGTAAGATGGCCGCAGTCGGGGAGTGCTCGCTGCCCGCGCCGTGGCGGCCGGTCTCCCTCACTCACGTCGAGTATCCCGCAGGTAACGCTCCGTTTCGCCGCCGCCGGGCCTCCCCACCGCACCTCAGGGCGCGGCGGGCCCCTTCCCGCCGCCCCGCGGCGCCGCCGCGGGCCGCGCTGGCGGCTGCCAAATAGTGAGCCATTGAGCAGCAGCGCTGAGGCGGCAGGGCGCGCGTGCGCGTTGGGGGCGGCGAGGCGCTCTGCCAGATCGGGAGCCGCGGCGGGAGCGGCGATGCGCATGCGCGGTGGGGGCTCCGGGCTGGGGGGCTGCGGGAGGGGGGGACGGGGAAGGGGACCGGGAATGGACTCGGGGGGGCGGCTCCGTCCCGGAGATCCCGGAGCCGCCCTGCCCTCCACTGCCGCCCTGCCCGCTCCACACCGCCGCCTCGCCGCCCCTGCAGCCCTCTGGCCATGTGCGGTGCCCCCGGCTTCGAGGCGAGGGTCCCACCCACGGCGTGCAGCTCCCGGTGCCGCTTCAGCAGCTGCCGGTGTCGGTGTCACCTCCCTGCTCCGCGCTCTGCGGGTCTGGCTCGGTGTATTACCGTGCTGGGGGGCTCTGGGGGCCCTGGTGCCCTCTCAGGAGTGGGGATGTGCCAGGGGGGCCGTGTCCCCCGGCTGGGCTCGGCTGCCGGGGGAGTTCGGGGGCTGTGCTGGCCGTGGGGATGGCAGCGTGTCCCTGTCCTGTCCCCGTGGATCTGCTGCTTTTCCTGGGAGCGCTTTGGTCAGTGAGCGCTGAGGGAAATGCCCCGAGCACTCCAGGCACAGGAGGTTTTGTGGCTCAGCTCTTGACAAGGTGGGTTTGTGTCTTGGTTGAGGAGCAGTGTGTGCCTGAGTGCAGGGTGGGCTATTCCAGCTGGGACAGGTGTGAGCCACAAAGGTCCTGCACACCAGCTGGAATGAGTTCCTGATGTGCAAGAGCAAGTGGGTCTGTGTTCAGCTGGCATATGCCTAAACTGTGTCCCATCAGTACCTGTGGTTCTTTGGAGCTCCTGTGGGTGTTTTGTGCTGTGCTGGGTTTGGGTGCCTGTTATAATCAGAGATAATAGAAAAATGAACTGTCAGAGTTATAGCATTAACCATTTGCTCAAAATCCAAATCTTGTCTAAACGCTGTTTTCAATATTTCCAGTTCCCAACTTGCCATGGAGCGTTGCTGTACGTCCTGTTTCAGTAGCTGGATTTTAGTTCCTGATGAAAGCTCCTCTCAGCAGTGCAATTCCTAAAGCTTTTAAAGTGCTTAGGGATCTTCTGGGTTGAAAGTGCCCATTTAGCTAGAAGACTTGAAATGTGACAACACTGAAAAAATATCTGGCACTGGAGATACATTATTTCTTGGCCCTCCCCCTTATGGCTGTTTGATGGTTTTCTGTGATGCTTTATGTGAAATATTGGCATTTCCTTTTCTGTCTTACATTTTCCTCCACACTGTCAGCTCCTCTGCCATCCCCCTTCTCAAATATATTAATGTGTCAGTTTGGGAGAGATGGGAAATAATCTTGCCAGTAGTACTGATATATTCATCTTTGTATCTTATCTCCTTATCTGAACCTGGCAGTATACACAGAGCGTCCTGTGCTCCATTTGTTGGATTGGTTTGGGAAATGAAGGTGGTGGAAATCCCTGCACAAGGGTTATCTGTCAGATCTTGAACAATGTGACATAACCTGAATATTTTCTCTCTGCGTTGAGAGCTCTTAGACAGGCAAAAGGAGGAGGTGATTGTGTGGAGGGGTAAATCATCACCCAGCTTAGGGTTGTGTTTGGAGGGGATGGGCACTGTGTTTATCTTGGCTAAAATGTGTTTATGAAAGCCTTTAAAGTGGAGACAAAGGACTAAAACAATAAAACAGCTGGAGGTATAAAAGTTTGTTAATTTATTTTCATAGAATCATTTAAGTTGGAGAAGCCCCTGAATCACCGAGTCCAGCTGTTCCTCCAGCACTGCCAAGGCCACCACTAAACCCGTTCCTCAAGTGCCACATTTACACAGCTCTTAAATCCCTGCAGGCACGGGGAGTCCACCACTGCCTGGGCAGCTCTGCCAGGGCTGGACAACACTTTCTGTAAAGAAGCTTTTCTTAATATCCAAGTTAGACCTTCCCTGTGCAATTTCTGGCTGTTTCCCCTTCTCCTGTCCCCGTTCCCTGGGAGCAGAGCCTGATGCCTGTCCCTCAGCTGTCAGGGAGTTGTGCAGAGCCAGAAGGTCCCCCCAGGCTGAGCCTCCCCAGCTCCCTCAGCTGCTCCAGATCCTTCCCCAGCTCCGTTCCCTCCTCTGGACATGCTTCAGCCCCTCAGTGCCTTTCTTGTTGTGAGGGGCACAAAGCTGCCCCCAGGATTTGAGGTGGGGCCTTAGCAGTGTCCAGCACAGGGAGATTTGGTGTCGTCAGTGAACTGAGAGTGCACTCGATCTCCTTGGCCAGGTCATTAATAAACATATGGAACAGAACCTGCCTCAGAACTGAGCCCAGCCCCAGCTGGATTTAGCTCCATTCCCCACCAGTCTGGGCCTGGACAGGTTTTTGTACCTGGAAAACAGAGCACCTATCCAAGCTGTGGATGTTCTCCGGGAGAATGCTGTGGAAAGCAGTGTCAAAGGCTTTACTAAGGCAAGGTAGACAACATTTTGTTCTAAAATAATGACTTGCAGTAAACTGTGGGTCTGAAGCTTTTACCTGGCTTTGGGGAAAGTGCTCTTAACTTTATTTAGAAAGCTGTTTACATTCAGCCTGGGCACATCTGAACTCCAGGTCCATAAAGTGCCTAGATAATGTATATTTCTAAAGGAGTGATGTTGGCAGCAGGCTCAGCACAGTGGAGTTAATGCAGCCTTGTGCTGCTGAGAGGGTCGGAATGAGAAATGGATCCTGCTTTTACCAACATCAATTATTAAGCTGTCTTGGCATGTCATGCACTGCTCTGTGGCAAACAGCTTCGGCTCTTGGCTGATCCCAGAGGCTGCTGAGCTGCTGTGGCAACTGCCTCTGAAAATCTCACATCTTTAAGGATTCCCAGTGCAGAGCCCCAGCTTTCATCTGCCATGGGTGATGGTCCTGCTCCCTGGGTAAAAAGCTGTCACTGCTGATTTCTGCCTGGCAGATGAAGCCTGGGTTTGGGCTTCTGCTTCTAATTGTGAAGGGGAGAGGTGTCTCCAGAAAGGTGCTCCCTGTTCTGATCTAATGTTTCCTTATCAATAGTGATACATCAAACCCATCCTGAGCTGCTTGTGTGGCTGCACAGCTCTCCAGGGCTTTCTGCGATGTCCACTTTGAGCAAAACAAATGAGAAACAGCAAATGAATGCTGTGGTAATCAACTGCAGACTGGTCTGAGGAATGCAGTCTTGGAGACCTGACTGAAATATTACCCATAGGGAATGTTAGGATTAAACATAGGGAGAAAAAAATCAGCCATGGCAGTGCTGCCTGCGTGTGCTAAAGCACGCTGCTGCAGAGGACAGCCTGTAAAAATATCATCCTGATGCTGCTTTCAGAATTTTTTTAATCCTGGAGCATTTCATACTACCAGCTCTGCTTTGGTGAGACCAAGGAATGATCTGGCATAGTGTCAGGTTGCTGGCAGGTAGGCAGGAATAATCCTTCTTCCCTATGTCCTTCCAGTAATGAGCTGGTGATTGCATCAGGGCTGTGAAGTCCTTGGATGGATGGATGGATAAAAGCTGTATCTCTAATTGTTCTTTGAATCCATTTCTGCTTTGGATCTCACAGTATCTTTGGCACTGAGCTTTGTAGCTTAATGTGGTTGTTGTTTCTTTTCTGTAAAGTCCACTGCTCAGTAATTTCATCAAACACTCTCTCATGTGCAGTGAGAGGCAGCGATTGTTTGCTGTCAGTTTCTCCATATAATTCATGACTTCATAGAACTGTTGTATCATCTGTTTTCCTTTTTCAGCTGAAAATCTGATTTATTTGATGTTTTCTGAATGGCTGCTGTTGCATACTTATCTTTGTCCCCATTCTATTTGCCTTTTCTGTGTGTACTCTCCCTTTTTAGCTGGTGACACCGCAATTGCATAATAAATTTTTGTAGTGCTGTAACAGTAACTTCTGTTGTGCTCTTAAAAAATGTTCTTCTTGCCTTTTTGACTGCTGCAGAGCACTGGGTGCTACTCTGAAGGTATTGGCACACTCTGAGTCTGAGGGTTTTTGTTTGGTAACAACTGAACTAAATCCTGTCATGTCATGGGTATAATTAGGGTTGTTTTTTCCCGTATGCATTGCTTTGCATGGGATGACTTTGTGCTGCAGACTTAAAACTCATCTTCAGGGACTTCCTGCCTGTAGGGTGAGTTTCACTGGAGAAACATCGAGTTCCTGGTTTGTTTGGGTTTTTTATTATTATTTGGAGAAAAGAAAGAAAACTTCCTCTCTTCAGTGCAGCTGGGATTCTTAGAGCTCTGGGACTTTCTGGACCTTCTCACACTGGACAAATTCTTTAAGGAGAGAAACCTGATGTGCCAAACCTTTTTCCCTGCAGAATGACAGAATATTCCCATTTTCCCAGTTTCTCCAGGATGTTTCCTACAGCCAGGCAGAGTTGGAGAGGCAGGTGTGCAGTGGGTAAAGAGGTTCAAAGGTGCTGTGTCTGTGCTTTGGCTCAGCAGTTCTTGTTGCTGTTCAGTATCAGCACATGCAGCTCCTATAGGAATGTTTGTTCTGATAACCCTCCTGTGCTTCTGTGCAGGCTGGGAGCTCACAAGTCAGGGCTCATTCCAGAGCTGAGCAGTATCTCCTGGAAGAAGCAGATCCCACTCTTTGTTTGTCTGCTTTAATGCAGGGTTTATGTTTAATCTCCCTGCAGAAGTTATGTCTGATTTTATGCCATAATTTAAAGCCTCCTGTAGATATTATTGCTGTCCCCCAGCTCATGTTATGGGGATGTGCACACGCAGAGGAAATTACTCTTTTGTATCATGAATATTTAGTGATTTAGTGAGATATGCACACTGCATGTTATGTGTGCAACTTGCACATATGCACTCAGCCAAGAACACACAACCAGTGGCAGTGCCACAAATAGATCCTTCAATAGGAAGTGGTGGTGGCAAAGCTCAGTCTTGTGGTAGGATGTGGTTGGGGGCTGTTGATTCCCATTTTTACATCCTATACAGGTTAAGTAGATGTGGTGAAGCTCAGCTATTTCTACCGACAGGATGCTGGGTAAAATGTTGAATTGGAGCAGAAGTAGATGCTGAATGAAGGCTGAAAAAATAGCGTGTGTCTGAGCTATGTATAGTGCTGCACGTACTTATCTCTTGGCTGCCCAAAAATGGGGTAGTTGCATCCTTTATTTTTGCTTTTTGAGCTCCAGATAATGTCCAGGGAAAGCTGGACTTTAAAAAAGCAGAATTTAAAATTAAATGAAATCCAAGATATGTATTAAGTAGATTCTCCTATTGCATTTTTGTGGAGATTTTGTCTCTGTTCCTTCTTGTTGGAGGACCTGCTTTAAAATTCCCAAGTTTATCAAATTAAAGGAAAATTAATTTTTTATAAAAAAAGGCAGGGGTGCTGCTTGCTAGATCTGACTGGACTTTAAACTGTGGCTCTCCTGCACGTCTTCTTTCCCTGGGAATAAGTCTCAGAGCGCGCTGGAGCGTGAGAGGAGACAGGAGTGACAGAAGTAATCATGCTCCAAGGCCCCCGGAGCGCTGAGCAGCGCTGGCCTTTCTCTCAGAGCTCACTTTGCCTCCTCCACTGGGGATTTCCAGTCCTTTCTGAGCTGGGTTAGTCACTGAAGCTCTGCCCTGAGCTGCTGATCCAGTGGGGCCGTTTGTGATGGCGTTGGTGTGTTCCTGGGGTGGCTCCGGTGCTGCCTTCAGTGCCCAGCTGTTTATCTGCCTCCTCTGTAGAAAAAGTGGCTTCAGAATGTGACTCTGTTTAATTGCCATTAGGCACAGGAACATGAAGTACTATTAGTGATATCTGCTCTAAATGGACTGCTGAAATATTTGAGGAGCTTTTGTGTTAAGATTGAGTGAAGGACTTGGTGCCTGTAGGCACATCTGGGAGTGATGGTGTCTGGTTCCCCTCTCAGGTGTGGTTTTTGTGCCTGTGAAGTCTGGGTGATTTGATTTATTGGGGATGTTATCATGTAACGTAACAGAGGATTTTGAGTTCGCCACTGCTGATCCTATTTAAATTAAAAGACTACTTGTTTAAGTACCTTTCCACCATCTGCACAAGAAATAGAACCCTCTGAGAAGATAAATAATCTGGTTTTATTTCTGCTTGACAAAATTATGGCTTTTAATGTGGAAGTGCTAAGCCTTTATGTGCCGTGGATTAACAGAGTGAGTGATCTGAAACATGGAGATCTCTTGATGAAGAGCTCTCTTATTTGGCAGTGCTGGAATTGAGACTTTTGGAAAGTATTCCTAAGGCTTTCAGGGTAGTTTAATTGTCTCTTGACAAGGTGGCTTCTCTCATGAATTCCCTCATCATTGATGACAGAACTCATTTTGTTGAGAGTTTGTGATTTATATTAAACCATAAGGGGCTTGATTGTCTATTGCCAAGTAACTGGTACTGTCACTTGTATCCCCTTTGTGTTACCATAATCCATTGCTTTGGGAACATTTGGAATGCACCTGATGCAAGACAAACCTGCCATATGGAGCAAGAAAAGTTTCAAATTCAGTGTCTTGCAAAGCTTTTCAGGTCAAAACCAAAGCAGAACCTCACTTCAGTGGAAACCCAGCATGCCTGGGTTTATGTCCTCCAAATCTTTCTCCTTTCACCTAACTCCTGCTGGTAATCCTTGCTGATGATGTTGCTGGTGCCCAAATTTAACCCAGAGTTTGGAATTCCAGAGACTCCCATGCGCTATACCTGATGTAACCACAACTATGTGGCAATAAGCATCAGCAGCATGAACTTTGTGAAGGGGCAATAACTTATTTTTTTATCAGTTCCAGCACTCAGAGGCTGAGGTTAAAGTCCTTTTCACCAAGTGCTGCTTTGAAATGTGGCTGTGTGGGCTGGGGAGCCTGGGTGCCTTGCAGTGGAATTGATCTAGGAATGAGTCCAATGCTCAGACTTGCAGAGGCATCCTGTTTCCTTTTGAGAGGAGGGAAGAAGGACAAATTTATGTGGGGGCTGAGCCTTTTGTGTTCAGTGATGGGATGGAGAGGATCTGGTCTGTGAGAACCAACACTCAAAGTACCCATCTCTTCTGCTGCTTGCTGGGCTCATACAGTGAGTTTGTGGTGACTTCTGTATTTAAAGATTCTTTGGCAGACAGTTCTCACTCTTATCATACAAATTGCTGATTTGGAGCAAAATTGCTCTGATAATTTTTTGTGAATTTGTGCTGACATCTTTTCTCTGAACACTTCTGTATGTGTCCCTTTTTGGGGAAGAGAGGCAAGAGAAACTGGGATCAAAATGCACAGCTGCTCCTTACTGCTGCTGCCCACTTCTGTGGCTTTTGTAGTTCAGAATAAAGGTTTTGAGGGACCTTATGACCTCTGTTGGGTCCCATTGCAGCTCCCTGATTCTCCCTGGGGGATAACTAGACTGTTAATTATTTGGGTTGGAGGCCCACATCTCCCTCTGTGTGGTACAAGTGGGCTACTGGTTAAAAAGGCAGAGTCTCCTTTATTTCCCTGATATCTCCTGCTATGTTTAGCTGTTTATTTCCTTCCCATTTTGCTAATGCTGGTGTTCGTGCAGACACATGGTGAGACAGATTAGGAAGCTGATCCAGCTGAAAACTAACCCATTTCAGTGAGGGAGTGGGAAAGGATTTGTTTGGGGACTTTTGCTGGCTCAGAGAAGAAATAGGAATGAGGGGAAGGGAAAGATGCTGCCTCTTCTGCAGCAGCCTGTGCTCACCTTGGATTAAAGTAGCTCTGGGCCCACACCCATGGTTATTGTTGTAAACTGGGTGTAAATCTCTGCTGAATGATTCCAGGCTTCTTTCACCCTTGATTCTGAACCTGCATGGAAGCTCTGCTGTCTCCCTTTCATTCTGGAACACAGGGACTGCCTACACTGCTGAGTCTGCCCCTCTGCTCTGTGATGCAGGGCTATGACTGACCCGTGTTGTGGTGGAAGGCAAGTACCTGTGAAATTCACACTGATTGGTTTCTCTTGTTTGTTTCCCCAGGTGATTTCTCTGGCCAGCTTTTAGCTTATTTGAGTCTTGGTCCAATATTCATTATTGTTGGCTTTGTAACACTCATCATATTCAAGAGAGAGCTTCACACGGTGAGTCCTTCTCTCCCTTCCCAGCCTCTCCTTATGACAAAAGTCTTTTCCTTTGTCACCTGGGGCTCCTGTATTCACACTTCTTTTTCTCTCTAAAAGGAGCAAGCTGAGGAAAGCCATCTTCCTGTCAGGGAACAGCAGGAGACACTTAGCACCCGTAGCAGGTTAAAAGGCTGCTCAGCCTTTTCTGACTTCTCTGTTACTCTGGTGTGTTTTGGACACTATCTGTGCAGAACCATCGAGGGAGATGTCTGAGGAAGTACAGAATGCTGTTGCAGAGTGGGAACACTCCCAAGATCCAGTAGGATCATAGCACTGGGCAGCATATGCAGGAAATGGTGTGTGTAACTCAGGGGGATGCACTTTCTTTGAACTACTGAGGCAGAAAAGGGGATAAAAATAAAACCTAAAGCTTTCCAAGGGAGTGGATCTGTCTTTAAGGGCTGTTTTTCAAATGTGAGCTGAATACCAGGGGCAGAAAAAACTTGTTTCAATCCAAATTCTTAAAATACTTTTTATCTGTGCTGCCAGGTAGTTGGGAATCAGTGTCATGGATAAACTCCCTCTAGGACATATAAACCTCTTGTAGCATTTGTCCTCAATAAACAGATAAAACAGGGGCCTCTGAAAGGATTTTGAATGTAGGGCCACAGTGTCATGGGAACCAGTGGCCCAAGGGACCTGGGAATAGGGAACTCTTAACTAGGGAAGGCAGTTGTACAGTAACTGTACAACTTTCAGGTTTTTGGTAACTCAAAGGTTTTGTGTTGGCCCAAAAGAGAAAATAAGCCAGAGTACTATTGCACAGATTTATAGTTTTTTCAGTACAGGGATTTGCTTGGTGTTGGTAACAAGATGAGTGCTGAGGTTGATTCTCAGTTCTCTGTGTGGGAAGTCACCACTGGGCTGGAGAGGGACACTGGCTGCCTTGCAGCAGCCTGATCCGTGGCTCAGGATGAGGAGTGAAAAATTGCTTCATCATGTGGAATGGGACTGAGTGCTAAGGAGGCAGTGTCATCACCAGCTGGGAATTTGATCACAGCAGCAGGACTAATTTAGGGGAGGTGTATGAACTGTGAAGTTGAAGAGCAAAAATAAATGCTACCAGGTCTGGCTTAGCTCAGAATGTGAATTCATCTTGGACTGAAGACAGCAGCTTCATGATGAAAATATTCATAGAAGGAAGAGCCAGAAAGCCTAAAAAGTCACCTTTGTTTTAAACTATTTCCCCAGATAACAGTGTCTGCACTCCCCCTGTTGGTCATTGGGAAAAGCCAGTTCCCAAAACGTGCCCTATTAAAAAGGTCACTTTCTGCACTCACTGGTGCAAGGTGCTGGCAGACGTGCCCTGCTGTGTCATTTTTGTCTTTCTGTGTATCTGCTGCTGAAAAGCTGCATGTACACAATATGTTGCCAAATAGAAAGTGAGATGAAAATAAATGCTTTTCTTCTCAGGTATAGAATTTGGAAGCCATTGGTTTTAACTCTAGTAGTCAAAAAAGAAAATTAGAAGCATAATGTTTGGGGTTTTGTCAACAGAGAGAGCCTGGTAAGTAGAAGGATCTCTTAGAGGGGATGACACAGCTGTCTTGCTTTCACAGATCTCTTTCTTGGGAGGGCTGGTGTTCAACGAGGCAGTGAACTGGTTAATAAAAAATGTAATCCGGGAGCCTCGGCCGTGCCAAGGTAGGGTGTGCACCATGAGTGTGGTGGTGTCAGGGGAGTTTGGGGTGGAATGCTGACTGGGGGGAGTTACAGGGGTTTTCCCCCTTTGCCTCACGCTGGCTGTGGATGTTTGGGTGTAAGAAGGCTGACAGAGCCTCCTGAGCAGGGACATGTCCTGGGAGCTTTGTGCATGCTCCAGCAGCATGGGCTGGCTTCACATCTGGAGTGTTCCAGTTGCTGACTATACCTTGACCATATTCTTTTTTCTTTTTCTTCCCAGAAGCCCATTCAACAGTGACCACAAAATATGGGATGCCATCCAGCCACTCCCAGTTCATGTGGTTTTTCTCTGTCTATTCTTTTCTGTTCCTTTATTTAAGGTAAAAATTCCGGGTCAGGTTTTGGCTGTTAATATGTTGCAACAGCTGAAATGGGTGGCTCCCTTGCTGGGTGCCGCTTGAGTGGGATAATGGAATTAAATCTGAGGACCTGCGCAATTTATTGTGGCTTGGGTGGGATTGGAGCATGTCTGTCTCAATCTGAATGTAGGGCTGGAATTTCTTTTTCTAAGCTATAATGGTGCCCCAGTGTGAGGGAGGAGGTGGGGGAGAAGGAGGAGAAATGAAGAGCTGCTTTCTCATTTTGTCTCAGTTTCAGTGGGGTTATCTATAATCTTTTGGATAATACCAGCTGTCCACTTGCATGACCTTTTAGTTGACTTTCCTTACCAAGTACTGGGTTTACCTGTGCTTTAATGAAATTCTTGCTGGGGCATGGCTCTGGAAGGAGGAAGACAAAAGTCTTGTGGCTCTGGGTGGAGGAAGACCAAGTCACAGTTCCTCCTGGCTCTGTGGGTGATGGAGGGGACTCTGTCTTGGCTCCCTGTTGCCTGTGCTCAGCACATGTCTCTCACATCAGTGTGAGCATCCTGCCCTCCATCACAGCAATCCCTGTTCACAGTTGGAGAGAAGCACCTGTGGCTCCTTGGCTGCTCTTTAACTGCTGCCAGTGCACAGATTGCTGCTGGGATGGGATTGAGCTGCCCATGACCCCAGTGCAGTAAAGCTTTCAGAGGGAGGGAGGTCAGGAGTGCTCAGCTCCCTGCCCTGTGCTCATGGCTCTCCGTCTCTTTCAGAATGCACCAAACAAACAACGCGAGGTTTCTGGATTTGCTATGGCGACATGTGCTGTCCATCTGCCTCGTCACAGTGGCTTTGCTAGTCTCATATAGTAGGTATGGAGCAGCTGTTTTCTCTTCTGCTCTCACACAGCCTCGTGGCCTGTCCCAGCCAGCAGCCCTGGCGTTCCTTATCCTGCCTTTCCCACCTGATTCTGCACTGCAGCTTTGTACAAGTGTTGCCATGAGACCCAATAAACAAAAGTGCTTCGTGTGTGGTGCTTCACAAGCATTTACAAAACCTCAAATCAGCTGAGCTTGTGCCAGTTCCCCACGGGCTCCAGTGCCATGCTCCATCCAGCCTCACTGCCTCGCCCTCTTTCCAGCACTGAGTGTGGAGGCATTGCCCCATCTGGGCACAGCAGCATCTGCAGCATGTGGATCACTACAGATGATCAATCCCACTGTTTTGTTTGAGCATTAGTTAATCAAAACGTTTATAGCTGTTGGCTTGCAAGATTTAGTTAAGATGGATAAAGAAAATGGAACTGTGATAGTGATTTTTTTCTCTCTCTTTAGTAGATTAAATGTAAAGTGAGCTCCAGTGATTGGAAAAACAGACAAATTCAAGCTAGAAATAGGGTCACATTTTCCACAGGAAAGTAATTACCTGTTGGCACAGCTGACTGTATGCTACAGCTGATTACTTATTACTAATTATTTTAAAAGCCTGGCAGAACAAATTTGTCAGAGGTGTATGGTCTAATTAAAACAAAATTAGAGGAAATCAAGTGACCTATGTTAGACAGAAGGTCAGATAAGATGATCATAATGATATGTGAGCAAAAAGAATTTTGAATGTAGCTTTTGCACACATAACAGGCCAACAATGCAGCTCTGAATGGCTGCAGTCACAGTGAGCACATTGGTCATGCAGCCTCTGTGCCTGTCACATTGGAGAGCCCCAAAATCACAAAAAAAATGCTGTCCATGTTCTTAAAAGCCTTTAAGCCCCAGCTTTGGTGGCCTGGAGGAGCCTTGTCCCGTTACTGCCTTTGGAAAAGTCACTTTTGGAACTAACAGTATTAGTTCTTCAGCTGATCCAAAGATGGATGAAGGAGAATGTGGAGGGTTATTGAGTTAAGCTCAAACTAGAAGTGCTCCAAGCTGAAACTGCTGTAGCAGGGAAGAATTTTCCCCATTTTTCCCCCCACTATTTTTGCCAGCTTTTTACTGAAAAAAGACACCCACTTTTAACATCTGGAGGATAACTTGCACCCGTATCTGTGGGTCCAGTGACACCTCAGCTCCTGAGTCTTGGCTCCTTTTGTTTTAAAGCCTGTCTGGTGACTCTTTTCTTCCACTGCAGGGTTTATTTGCTTTACCACACCTGGAGCCAAGTCCTATATGGAGGTGTGGCAGGAAGCATCATGGCCATAGCCTGGTTTGCCTTCACACAGGAGATCCTAACTCCCCTCTTCCCGAGGATAGCTGCGTGGTAAGGCTCTTTATTCTGTGGAGGTTTGTTATGGATGTTAGAAATGAGAATTCCTGGGCTCTGTCCCAGTTTTGCATACTGGCTGTTGTGTAACCTACTTTGTTCCTCCATGTTTTCTTGTGCATGCATATATACAAAGGATCATATGTCCTTGGTAAGGGTGGGGAAGAGGGAATTTAATCAATTGCTACATTTTGTAAAGCCCTACTAAAGCTGTGAGGTGTGGCAGCCTGCTGGAGGAGCTTTGCAAGATGAACAGCAGACCTTTCTTAATGAATGTCTAATAACCCAGTCAAATTGCAAACTATTTACATGTAATATAGTCTGGAAATATTGCATAAGGAAAGAAAAAAAATGTTTTTTTAAAATGTAACAAAGCCTGAAGTGATAGAATAGAATTGTTAAGTAGAGCAGGTTTTGTTGGTTTTTTTTTTTTTTTAATCAAAATTCCAGTGAAGAAAATCTAATTATTTCCCCCTTTCCACCACATTGTCCTTTTTCAGGCCAATTTCAGAGTTCTTTTTAATCCGAGATACCAGCCTCATTCCTAACATCCTGTGGTTTGAATACACAGTCACAAGAGCAGAAGCAAGGTAAGTTCTGTTGGGAGTGGAGGAGCTGTTGCTGCTCTGACCTTTCAGATGCAGTTATTAATTAATTTTCTGATATGTAGCTTATAATTTTGGGCTGCTGTGGGTAGAATAGCTCGAAGTAAGGAAATACAAAGTTGTGGGTTAACGACTGCATCTGAAAGGTGAGTCTGGAGAGAGTGTGATTCAAGAATTTAATCTCATTTAAGTAGCATTTCAGCTCCTTGGCTTATGGTTTTTGCAAGCAGTTGTTTATAATCTTGCATCCCCATGTGAGCTTGTTTACACTGAAGATGGGGTGGGTGTTCTGGGGGTGTGGAGAGTGGGAAGGAATGATCAGCTTGGTGGGTATGGCAGGGTCACTTCAGTTTTGTGTGCAGCTAAGCAGAGGCACACTTTAATCCTCCTGTATTTGCCTCTGGTTTGTTGCAGCCCCCTGGGATGGGCTGGGTGTGGTGGTGTTTGCAGGGGTCCCAGGATGAGGGAAGAGATGAGAATCTTGACTGCATGTTTCAGAAGGCTGATTTATTATTTTATGATATATATTGTATTAAAAGAAAATTATATTCTAAAACTATACTAAAAAATAGAAGAAAGGATTTCATCAGCAGGCTAGCAAGGAATGATAATAAAATCTTGTGACTGCTCACAGCCTCGACACAGGTGGCTGTCATTGGTCATCAAGTAAAAACAATTTCACATGCTGGGTAAACAATTCTCCAAATCACATTCCAAAGCAGCAAAACATGGAGAAACTGAAGCTTCTCAGGAGTAAAGATCCTGGCGAAAGGATTTTCCATAAAATATGTCTGTGACAGCTGGGGTCCCCTGTGCTGCCTTGCAGGAACAGACAGCGCAAGCTGGGTACGAAGCTGCAGTGACGGGACCAGGGCGCGCTGCAACAGAGACGACAGACAAGAGCAGAGACCTGGGAGCAGCAAGGAGCCTTTTTACAGACGGACCAAAGGAACAGGCAGGGACCATACCCAAAACCTGAAAGCCTTTGCTCTGCTTTAGCAGCTAAGCTGGATGCTCCCTGATGCATGTGGGACCGTGCAGGAGTAGAAACTCATTTTGAACACAGATGCACATGGTTGGATGTACCATCGTGTCTACGTCAGGGGAGGGGGGAGAAAATGCCTGGTGTCGTGTTCGGGGGAGGGAAAACCAAAAATGAATCCTTTCTGTGACTTTTTTTTTCAGCATGAAATATACACACTATTTATTTATTTTTTTAAATGGAACTATTGTTTATGGGGTGGGTGAGGCGTTGATTGTGTGTTTTGCTTTTTTTTTTACTTTTTTTTTTTGGAAGAAGATGACAAAACTATAATCTCAAGTTGGTCATGTTTAATTAGGGCTTCTAATTCTTACATGGTTCTTAGGAGGGAGGGCATCTAGGAGGGTTGATCAAGACAGAAGGGAGAAGAAGACTTTCCTTTCTGCAGTCAGTTTGGGAGATCAAAATCAATTCCAACTGTACTTTGTACAGACAAAAAGACTATAAAGATCTGATTTTTAACACTAGTGACAGTTCTGCAGGGAATCCTGCACGGATACCAGTTAAGGGGAGTGTGTGTGTAAAACAAAGGAAAAACACAAATATACTGACTCTTATTTTTTTCCACTGCTGCTCCTGTTGTGTAATTAGCAAGAGTGTCCTTTTCAGAATCTCTTCTAGGTGGCAAGATTATCATACATATCTCACATTTATTCCATCTCTTCCTTTATACTTTTATTATCTCAGGGTTGCTGTGATCTGTACAGCTTTTGTTGTACTGAGTGTGCCGAGGGCACTGGGAAGCCCATTGGTTATAAGCAGTGCTGTGCTCCAGTGAGAGTCAGCCCAAAGCCTTACAAAATTCAGTTGCTGGTCTCTGTCTTAAGCACTGGATTTTTTTTTTTTCTTTTAAAGCTTAAGGGAGGGATTTTTATGAATGAATATAGTGACAACCACAAAAGAACAAGGCAAATGACTAATAACTAGCTCAGCTGCTCTCTGAATTATTCCTCGAAGAGCCCTGTTAGACTCCATCCCTGAACTCCAAGTAGGGAATTTATCCTAGCAGAGGCTCCATCACAGTAGCTTGGCTGGGGTTCTGCAGCTGTAACCTTGAATGCTGAACTCCTACCAGCAAGTTTTGCTCTCCATCCTTCTTCCATGGCGATTGTGGCGCTCTGGGTGCTGTGTCTCTGTGGGAGTGTGCCTGCCATCTCTGTGTGCTGGTGATGCCTCCGACCTCTGTGAGCCATCAGTGACCTGCCAAGGGCTATACTCAAAGTGCTTCAGGGCTGTGCATGGACACTTTCTGTATTTCTAGTATATAATGCAGCAGTTCAAGTGTAACTACAGAGAAGTATTTATTCAAAGCACAATTGACTTGAACTTTCACAGATAAAGGACAGCTTCTGAACTGGCTCAAAGGTCATCGGTGTGCCTTCGATGCAGTCATGAGCAGAGGTAAAATGACTGTCACATCTCAGTCTTGCTGCTTGTTTTCCTATCTCCACTTTAATCAGACTCCTGCATTATAAAGCTGCTTGAAGTCAGATTTTTTTTTTATGTTCATCCTGGTTATTTTTTTTTAAGTTTTCATCTGTGCCTGTTGCTATAGGAGTTTTGTGTGTTTGTGTGGAGCTGCTGTTGGACACCCAGACTGTAAACTGTAGAAAGTGATCCTGATTCAGGAGATCAGGAATGAAGGCTGTTTAAATTTCTGTATTTAAATAGCTACGGGTAGTAAATTATCTGTTTTCAGTTGGTACAGCAAGTATATATATATACATAATTTTTTTAAGAACTGTTTAGCACTTGCATAACATAAGCAATCCTGTAATAACTGAAGGAGCCAAGCACTGGATCTGCTTTGAAGGTGCATCATAATCAAGAGGCATCTTGCAGCTTTCACAAGGACATTTGATGTGCCTTAGACCAGCTCTGTTGGGATGAGACAGGACATCAGGCAGGTCCCGTGACGTGGTGGTACCATATGTTTCAGTTTGAAAACTGGTACTTATGTCTTGCAAAACCATTCATTTTCTCTTTATATCTTTTGTAAGTGCACTGACAAAGCCAGAACAGAGATCACACCTCTCTTCCAAGGTTGCTGAAGGAGTGGATTGTTTCAGGAGTGGCTTAGCACTTCCCCAGCCTCTCGAGCTGTTACAACAGACTGCTGGAAAAAATAAATACATGGCAACACCTATTGAGCATAGGGAAGAGGGTTCATCTCCTCATGGAGAGCAGTGCAGTGTAAAAAGCTGTTCCACTTCATGTTGCCTTCAAACCCATGCTTCCTACAGTAATTCTTAGGAGTGAGGGACAGGAAGAAGAGCTCTTGTAAGACACTGTAATAAACTCTCCTCTGTTCTCTCTGAATTGTTTGTAATCTGCATCTTCTGCCTACTTTTGCTGTACCTTTTCAGAAATCTTTGCAATACTTGATATACAGTAGAAATTCCTTAGTGATTCCATGGATTTTCTTAACTAAATGGTGCTGTGCAGGAAAAAGATTTGAGCTCTGCCTTATTATCCTACACTTGTATGAAATCTCCTGCCACTAGTTTTCTGAAATTGAATGTTTTCTTTGGAATATGTGGCTTTGCAAGCAGATGCTTTCTCTTCCTCCCCTGTACTTAAGGGGGCTGGATGGAGATATGACAATAAAAGGAAGGTGACAGAATGCTGTGGTTCACTGTTCTTGCTGTCCCCATACAATCATTGTCCCATTAAGGGCAGTTATGTAACTTCTGCAGTGTTTAAGGAGTTTTAAGCCTTTTTGTAGCATTTATCTGTTTATTGTGTCCCAGTTTATTCAACAAACATTTCCAAACTTTGCATGACATGGATCCCACTACCCAACAGTATTTAACACAGCTAACCAGCAAAACATGCAACACTACCAGGCTGTGTCAAAAATTGCACTCACCCCAAGAGTTATCTGAATATTTTCAGTCTATGAGTTTCTGAAATAATTTGTTCCAAATCAGTCGTTTTGTTTAGTTTTAGTTTCTTTAGGAGCTTTAGTTTCTTCTACTTAATGTGCCTTTAAAACAATGGGCATCTCTTGATAAAACAATCAGAAACAGGGAGAAGAGTATTCAGTAAGTCAACAGTGAAAAAATCTTGAAGATACAAACCAGAAGGACATCACATTTTAGAACTTGTACAATAAGAAAAGAGTTTTTAAAGGAAAAACCTTGTAATGATTTTAGTGTCCTTTCAAGCACTTTAAAAATCAACCTCATTCATCTGAATTTCAGCTCTGTGTTTTAATAAGGATGCATTAGGTGGTTTATGAATCTTGTATCTCTTTCAGTCTGCTCCCTGCAGCTGTACTCTGCTGAAGCTAGTGGGATGTCCAGATTTAGTTCCAGAATAGATCAATCCAATCTTCTGAGGTACAGTCCTCAGCAGCACATGCTTATGCTTAGGCTTTAATAGGCACTTTGCTTGGAGAGCCTTCCCCTTTGAGACAGAAGTGGAAAAGGGCCAGTCTCAAATACTTCAGTGGTGCTACTTGTGCTTGAAGGCATTGCAGACATGGAAAAATAATTCATCCCCTGGTAACAGAGGCTGATTCAGTATGGGGGGAGGATTACTTTAGCAAAATGAATTTTTTTTTTTTTTTCCATGTAAAAGGCTCCATAAATCCAGATGTTATTCCAGTAAGGTTTGTTCTTGTCTGTAGTATTTACACAATCACTTAGAGTTTGATAATACTGAGTATCCTCTTGCAGTTTTCAGTCTGATTGATACAGAGGAGTCACCAGAGCAGGGATTTCTGCTTGCAGGTCTGTAGTGCTCCTATTCATGCTTTTAGGCTGTCTCACTCCATTCAGGATTCTTCTAAAAGATCAACTAAATCCATGTAGATGATGTGAAAGTGGCAGTTCAATACAATCACTGGCTGTGCAGGTGAGTTTCAGTTAAATTTTCCTCTTTTAAGGTATGTTATTAGGTATAAGATAGAAGCTTTGAAATAACATCCTTTCAGGAAAAAAAAATGCCAAAGCATTGGCATGTATATGTTGAGAAACAAATTAGAATTATTTTTTCTTCTTTTACTTTAAAAAGCTTTAGTGCAAATTTGTTCATATATGTTCATCAAGGCACTTTGATCATGTCCCTTGCAATTATTTCCCTTTTAACAAAACAGGCCATCACACTCCTAATGCTTCTTATTTATGGTGGCATCCCAGCAGACACATCTTGAAGGGTGTGCAATTTAAATACAGAATTCCTACTGCAGAAAGAGCACTAGAATTCTTTATTACCATATGGTTTTACTAAATAAAAGTAGTCAGGAGCTTGGGTTCTGACAGATGGGTTGGAAGTAGTTCCTATGCTACCATTGTATGTTAATGTTTATATATAATCTTTTACTGCCTCAAGTTTGTCAACTGAACATAAAAACAGTATCATATGAGATCATTCTCTCACAGAATAAAGCTGACACAGATTGGAGTAGTATTTCAGTAAGAAATAACTCCCCAGAGTGGCAGAAAAGGTGCTGTGCAGGAACAGTGCAGAAAAAAACCCTACAGCTTTCTTCTTGTTTTTCAAGATTTTCTGCCTTGTTACAGCAGAGTGAAAGAAGGGTTTCTGCAGCTGTTTTTCCTTTGCCCTTTAACAGATTTCAACTCTGTGGGCCAGGAATGGAAGTATGTGTTGGAGTTCCTGATCAGAATCATCCTTATTTGTCCACAGCTCAGGCATAACATTGTGCACAAAAAGCTGTTTCTGAAAGCAAGGTGTAAAACCACATTGGGTTGATGTGTGTGTCCTGAAGGACATCAGACATGTGGCTTGTTAATAAAGAGTCAGCATCTTTTTCTTTTCCTCAGCTCCAAAGAAAGGTGCAATGGAGCAAGTGTCAAGCTAAATGCCTAGGAAATTCCTTCTCATCTCTGCAGATGTGCAGGTACCTATAGCCAAAGCTGGCAAAACTTACATGAGGAGAGTTTTGTAGAAGCTCTATGGGGAAAAAGCTTAAGGCTGAGCTGGATGATCAATGGTAGGACCATGGCAGGAAGCTTAACAAAAAGCCCAGAGCAAGAACAACAAGAAAAAGAACCTGAAACAGTAAAATCACCTTAGTTTGTATCAAGTCATGTCCTGTTGTTAAGAGGGTCAGTGTAAGACGAAGGAGATCCCAGTATCCTGAACAAGGGGAAAGGAACATTCCTGTAGAGCCTGTACTGGCTGGAGTGCCTGGGATAAGTAGTGCAGTGTACTCTGATGAGACTGGATCTGCTCTGGCTGGACTTCCTTCTCCCCTTGCTGAAGTTGAATGATGAGGCTTTGCTCGAGCAGGAGAAAAATCTTCAGTCAAGACTGGAAGATGCTCTTCAGAAGATGAAACCAGGAAAAAGACTTGGTCTTACAGCAGTTCTATCATACAATAATCATTCCCTCTTCTCATGGACAAGAACTACCTTCCTCACCAAATGGATTTAGACACTAGCAAGGACTGTGCTTTCTGTATTCTCTTTCAGTAGTTTTCATAAAAATCATATTTGTGTCCTCTTTGAGGACAGGAAGGTGCACTTTGCATTGATGGGAGAGGCCCTCTCAGTTCTACTTTGGTTTGAGGCAGTGTTTCCTCTCACTACAGAGTCTGACATCTGTGGGTGACTAGTCTGTAACATCTTGCTGAATACAAATGGTAAATATCTTCTTAGGTTCCAGGGCAAGCTGTTCTCTGAATCGTTTTCTGAGGAACTGGGAGCTTCAGTGCATCAGGGATAGCCCATTTAACTGGGGGGTTTCCCTCTTACAGTTTGGATTTGGGAGCAGCCTGGAGCAAGATCCTCATGTCTAGGAGTGCTTTCTCAAGGTAATGTGCCATGCGGGCTGCGTTTGTGTCAGCACAGCTATTGAAGGCTGAAATTGCAAAGTTGATGTGTTCCTCCATGGGGTTGTAACACACTCCATAGCCATCTGGAACCACGGGACCAAAGCACATCACACAATCTGTCTTGGCTGGGACCTGTGGAGACAATGTGATTAAAACCTTCTGACCAGTCAGAGAAAAATGAAACCATCAAATGGAAATAGCTCTGTCAACAGAAGAAACTCATCTCTAGAAGGGCCTTTGGTCACCCTCGCTTCCCACCACGTGTGCTGGATCCTACTATTTAGCAGCAATGTGTTTTCCACTGCATTTGCACAGGAGTGCTTCTCCCCAGGGTAAGCTTGTAGTAAGTCACAAGTAGAATCACTCAGTAAGAATCAGAGCACAGCACTTAAAGCTGTTCTGACTGCTGATTTCATTGATATCACTTTGATTCAGACACCACTCTTGGTGATCTTGGCTTTGGTTATGTTAGTGTTTTACGTGTCTGTGAGGGACTGTGGAGAGTGTAAGATCAGATCTGTAGCTTTGTGGGATTGACAGCCAGCTTAGAAATTTCTGACCCAATGCAGATGAGTTTCTAACAGACAGGAACTGAAGAGAAACATGGAGAAGGAAGGCATGAAAAGGAACAGAGAGTGCTTTTGGCTCAGAAGAGTTGTACCTGGCTGGTTGAGAGGTTGAAGTGCATTGCAACAGCATAGGCTGTGTCCATGAAGAGCTCAGGAATGCTCACCAGGTCCTCGATTGCCTGGAGCTTCAGCCCCAGGAGGTGCCGGTCTATGGCATTGCCCCGTATGGCCTGGGGGAAAGCAAGGATGGACAGATGAAAGCCAGGCCTGAGCAAAACTATTTCTTTGGGTTAAAGAAAAGAACACTTCTAAAAAGTCTCTAAAGTTAGAAGGAAACCAGATGTTGCTTTTAAGACCAATAATCTTGTTTGTAAGGACTGTGAAGTTAAACACACCAGTGCAAACAATCTTACAGTTCCTGCCCATGGACTCCCTCTGGTTTAAGGACTCCTTGTGCAACTTCAGTGTTTATAATCAACAATGATGGTAAGAAATGAAGCTATTGTAATATCTAATTTTCTTCTTTAGGCCAGTCACAAGGGATACTTAACACACCAGCTAGAGAGGATTTAGTCTGTGGCTTTAGAGCAATGTCAGATCAGACCTTTGCAACACTGATGGCCACACTGCTGTGTCAGGAGCAAAAGATGTTAAGGTCTTGTCTTTCCCCAGAGCTCTCATTTGCTGGGTAAAGCCCCAAGCCTGTCTGTATAGAGGACACTCACCATGTCTGTGTATTCCCTGTGGGCCTGCGTGGCTCTCCTCAGCAGGTCTGCTTTCTCCTGGTCCTGTGAACACACAAATCTGTTTAAGTTTTTCTGCAAAATGGAGAACCTAATTTTGGCTGTTCTCTAGGATGGAGGACATTTCTGTTATGTGTGTCTGTATGAAACTCATCTATATTTACTAGATTTAATTTTTGCATCATTTTGTTTGGCAGCATTACTTCATTCTGAAGAGTTCATCCATCAGTAGCAGAACTTAGTTTGAGTAGCTGAACAGCCTTACAAAGGACTTTTTGGTGGGCTCAGAAACATCCACATGATGTTTCCCAGGCTTTCAGTACATATGATAGAAAAGTCAAATCAAACCCCTGATGTGTAAAGATACTGCAAGCTATGGTTTAGCTCAATATGGGGTGCAGCCCTCCTTAGCTGAAACCAGATGACACAGGGTTAGCCAAATAAACAGCTTTTCTCTTTTCTGGATTCCTCTTACTCCACTTCTTTGAGATCCTCACCGATTTGTCAGGGCTGTCCATGGACTGCACAAACTTGAGGGAGTCCACGGAGGTGGAGCGGATGGTGTCGGTGCGGCCCAGGCGGAACATCCGCAGGGACGCGCTCTCGTACGTGGCACAGGCGCGGCCGTACATCCTGGGGCAGCGAGGAGAAAGGCACACGAGTGAGTCTGCCCTGCCACAGCCTTGTCTGTGCCAGCTTTAGCAAGCTCACATGTTTGAGTCTGTCAGTGAGGAGGTTGAGGAATGACCTATGAGTGGTCTTACCTGTAGTATGCCAACTGCAACGCCAGCTGGATAAAAGCATCAGGGCTTATCTTCTCTGACTTGGGAAATCCTTTCCCAAATTGATGAAAGACCATGACTTTGATATCCAGATCTTCAACCATTCTACAAGGAAAGAAAGAGGAACTGTTCCTTTGTGTGTTGCTCATTCTTGTAACACAGTGGGATGGATTTGCTTTCTCAAGGCTCAGAGGGAACAGGCCATCTGGATCTGACCTATGCAGGGACAGAGAGCTCCAGCACACATAGATCTCTTTGGGCAGCACCACAGAGGTAAGAATTTTTGGCCACTGCTGAAAATCTCCACCAGGTTAGATGGTCATGTGTATGTTTATACTCCAGTATTCTTGGCTGGATCCAGTAAAGCCTTGCTCTTTCTCAGCAAATGGGATGAATCAGTAATAATCCTTTTCTAGCACCTCTGTGGCAGTGCTTTTCAGCTCAGCTGAATGCTGTTGAGCCCAGAAGTCACTGGGAAAACTCCCTGGCTGCAGTGGGGAAAGCCTCATTTAAACCACTGACAGGCTCCAAATGGGGACAAGAATCACTCCCTCAGTCACCCATGCACTTCTCCATACTCACATGTTGAGGTTTTGCTTTGCCTTCTCTATGTCATTCTTGATTTCTGGGGTGATGTTAAACCGCAGCTTTTTGGGCATTGGTAGATGAACTGTAGGCGATTTGCCTGTCTCAGGTTTCTTCCTGCACAGAGAAATGGTTCAGTTTGACCAGAGCTTTGGCACGAGGCCGCAGCCTGGATAGAAATGCACAGGAGACCTTCCCTAACACCCTGTGACACTGTGACAGACCCCTCACAGTGCCAATAAGGGATCCCCAGTGCTGAGGAAAAGCAGGGGCAGGACTCACGTGAACTCCACGATGTGGTCCAGAAGAGCAACGATGGGTGGGCCTTCGGAGGGAGCGTGCTCATATACGAGACCACAGGAGCCATCTTCAGCAACGATGAACTGGGACAGAAGCACGAGAGGACAGTGTTGAAGACAGCCAGTGTGTGAGGCAGAAGATACCCAGAGAGACCTCAGTGTCTCCCTGTCTATCTCAGAGCCTGTCCTTGCACACTGAGAGGTCTCCTTTAGCAGCACAGCAGTGGAATCCTTTCAGCAGGTGCAGAAGATCTGAGAGCACTGTTAAAAGTTCTGCAAAATTCCCTGGATAAGAGTGTGCTTGACATATTGGTGTGCTCAGTGCTCTAGCCACTCATAGAGGTTCAGTGGCTCTGGTTTACTGAGATGCACCCACAGTACAGGAATAACATTGCCACATGCTGGCTTACCCTTACTTTTCAATCAGCTGGAACATCTAAACTTTATCCCCTTGGTGAAGAGTTCCAAATAAGAACAAAACAGCTGAAAATACTGAATAGTTCAGCAGGTATGAGAGGAGTCCTCTAAAGTACCATTGCTACAATCTGCAAGCCAGGATATACCAACTAATGAAGGAAAAAGCTCCAACAGCAGCTGCTGTTGAAGGATCTTGGCAAGACTGAATGGAGAAGAGATCAGAGAGATGCAGTGAGATGGCAGTGCATGTTTCAAAAAACTAAACAAAATGCCATTGGGCAGCTTCTGGCAGAACCAGGAAAAGTGACAAGCCTGGAGGAGATCCAAGGAACAGATCTCCCATCGTTTGGGCTGCCTCTGAGCAGATGAGGCATTGTTGACCGCAGGCAGAAAATTGATTTATAAGGAACACAAAGACCTGCTGCACTGAATAAACGTGGGCAGAGGCAGAAAAGAAACAAGTCCCTGAGGCAGCAACAAATGCTGGTAACTGCAGAGGGAACCACAGGATCTCACACCATCAGCCACCACTCCTCATCTCCCTTGTTTTTCCACTCTCTTGAAATGAGGACCTTTGCTGCAAAAGGTTCCTGGGAGTTTTAGACTTTTGCAGTCTCAGGAAACACGTCCAGAGCCACCTCTTCAGTACCTCTAGAGCATCAGTTCTTACCTGCAGGGTTTTGTCGAACCATCGGTTGCCGCTGTTGAAGCGGCTGCCGCCGCCGTGCAGCATCTGCGCGGCCACGCGGCTCTTGTAGATGTCCTCGGACACCCGGGGCATGGGGGCGTCCAGGCACACGGTGCAGATGCTCTTCTCAATCGCACGCACGGACTCCTTGTTGGTCTTATCTGGGAGAGAAAGGAACTGTGAGTAAAGTGGGGGTTGTGTCGTTGGAAGGAGAGACATTTGAAAGGATGGGTTTGAAGGACGCGGTGTTGGGTTCCCACTGTACCTCAGTGGGGGTGTACACAGCTATTAAAATTGCAGCCAGCTGGGTTGTTACAGGTGTGAACATGCTGCATTCACCCTCCTTTTTTCAATTTTCTTACATCCTACCCATTTGCAAGGCCACAAACTCTGGGATTTCACTAAACTTCATACTTTGAATCTGTACCTCTCAACCCAAAAATTACAACAGATTGCAACAATTGCTTCTTTAAGGTGGAAAGCTCATGTTATCTGTCCAAAACAAGCTTCCAAAAGAAAAAACTGAGCAGAGCACAGTGGGGAGGTTTGTTATTCAAGGATCTGCAGTGTTTGTTAGCACATGTGTGTTAGGGGCTCTACAGACCTTTCAGGAGGTTGTTGTAGGCTTTAGCCCAGCTGTTTCGGTGGTTGGTGGTGAGGATCCCAATAGGTTCTTTGTTTGTTTGGAGAGAGGTGTTCCAAATCTTCTCCAGCTGAATGAAGAGCTGGTCAGCAGTAAGGGGAGATCCATCACTGTTGTAAACATCTAGCTCAAAGAACTGAAAGTGAGAAGAATGGACAAGGACAGAGACAGACAGTGAGAGAAGATAATTGTCCAGCCCCAGAAACCGGCAACAGCTACTTTGAGAAGGTAAGGCCTGGCTAAAGAACTCAGCTTGCAAGACTTTTGAAGGATGCTCAGAATTGAGAGACCCAAGTCCAGCTTCCTTTGCAGGGCATAAATACAGTCCTGGTTTTATGAAGCCATGGTAACAAGGACCAAGGAGGAATTCTTGTTTCTGAGACTAAGTTGCAGTGGGAGGGTTTGTTATCCAATTTTCACTTTCAGTTCCAGTTGCAGACATGGTTTCTGGGCTTTGAGAGACAGGAATTACCGGGACAAGAAACAGAGGAAGGAAGACAGTATTTTTCTGCCTCTAGTCTGCTGCTTACATGTGGCAATTCTGCTGCTGGCCAAAGGGGATAAAAGGAGCAGGAACAAATCCCTGGTGAGAAAAACCTTGTGGGCAGAGAATTTGTTATTCCCTTTCCTCTGTATAACAACTAGCAAAAGGGACACCTGCACCTCAGCAAACCTTGAAAGCCCAGCAGTTGCCTTACCTGGAAGTTGTGAACAACTGTGATGTGTCTGGACTGCTTTTTGCCTTTGGCATAGTTGACAATGGAGTCCCGCTTAGGCCCGGGAATGCGGCAGGATGAGAAGATCTGGTAGTACTGGTTCATACAGAGGGGCTTCCCACCCATGTACTCCACTGGAAGGGTCTCACTGGGCACACAGCAAGGTAAGGAGGAAGGAGAGAGAGAACAGATCAGTGTGATGAGCAGGCCTGTGCTCCCTGCACAGGTCACAGGCTCTGCCCTGCAGGTGCACTCCCTCCCTCCCTCTGGCAAAACCTAAAGGTATTGGTAGCATTAAAAGGGGTTGTCCTTCCCCATTCCTAGCAGCTTTCTTAGTACAGGCTACAAAAAAAAAAAAGTCTGTTTGCTGGCCTTTCATTTGGGAAGGGAAAAACACTGTCCTTTCTGTGACACCAGAGAATCAGGTCTCTGGACCTAGTCCATGGCTGTACCTCTGAGTGATGAGTATCTGATGTGATTCATGAACTAGGCAGGGGCTCAATCACTTGCTTCTGCAGTCATATTCCAACCACCCTGAACTTTGTCTGACTATTGGTGTTGGTAAACATTTTTGGACTTTAAATAAGGTGTGTCCAGCAGAGATTTGCTGGTGACCAAAAGAAAAAGGGTAAGGGAGGAACAAATGTCTCTATAGCTCATTCCATCTAACTGGGAGGTGAGAAACACCAGGAACCCAATGTTAGAGACTCAAATTCCTGCTGCCTGAGCTGTTGCTTGTCCTGTGAGCAAACAGAAGTGCAAAGCTCTGTAAGACTGTCAGTCGTGCTCTCTCCCTCCAAGCACGTTCCCATGCCAATGAAAGCATTAAGGTAAACAAAGAACGTGAAGACAGAAGAGTAAGTTTGCTTTTTTCCACTGGAGGGGACTGGGGATTACAGTATCTCTTCCCAAATCTGTGCTGTCATCTCTTGCCTTTCTATGTGGGAGATTTATGGACAAGGCTTGGCCTCTCTGTGACGTTAAAGAACGTGTGAGCTCTCAGGAGGGTCAGTAACTCACTTGTCAATCATGGCCTTGAAATCCAGGAGACCCTCGATCAGCTTGGCAGCAAACCTGGAAAAATACCAAATGTAACAAGCTGAGATCAGGCAGAGATGTGTCTGGGGCTGAGGGAGGAGCTGAGGAGGATTAGCAGAGCTGTTCTCTGCTCCTCAGGAAGCTCAGCCTTTCTGCCAAGCCCCTGTTGTGCCCATCTCTGGTTCACTGACACAGCCACTCTGGGCTGTGATTTGAGATTGCTGGAGAGTCGTACTGTGTGGCACTTTCTTTTTTTATGTGTCTTACTACACAGCCAAGGAACTCTGGACAGCTTTCAAGAAAGGATTGTCATGCATTAATGACCCTCTAACAGCAGTGTTTGCTACTGATGTGTTACAATTTTATCACATCTGAGTTCCGATTCTCAGCCTTAAAACAGCACCAAGGATTTCTGCCCTTCCCTGGCTAGGGGCCACCCTGGAGTGTCAAGCCAAGATGCAGCTGTTTCTCCCTGCATCTAAGACACCACTGGTGACTGAATTCCTACCCCAGTGAACACCCTGCTGCTAGCATAACTCTGGAAAACCTTCCTCTGGCACTGAGGGCTTGGAAACAAAGCAGATGTGCTGCATGAGGACACTGAGGTGTTGTGTTTACCAGGATCAATGTAAACAGTGCCAATGCCAGCTCCCAGCAGGGCTGTGACATGCCACATCAAGCTGCTTAGCTAGAAGTGACCTTCTCTTAGCTAGATTGGCCTTCTCTGACATGGGAGCTCCCACCTGTCCCTGAAGGAAGGAGGCAGGAGGTCACAGGGACAGGGGGTTGTGTTGTTGGCTGAGTGATGCGGTGCCAACATTTGGCATTTGCAGGCAGTGTCCTTTAGATTGGCTCAGCCTGCCCATTCCAGGGAAAGATCAAAGGACACAACTCCAAGAACCTAAGGGTTCTGTGAAATGAGACATTCTGCAAAGTAGTTTTCAATTAAAATTCCTCAGCCTTACTGTAAAACACAAGGGAAACAGAAGTAAGAGTGTCTGTGTTCCTTTCCAGAGAATTAACAGCCTGGAAGCGGAGTTTGGGCTCAAGGAGACAGGAGAGGTTGGTTGGCTTGTTTTCAGCCAGCAGTTTTGCCAGGTTAAGAAGTAAAAACCCACCACTTTCCAAAATTGCCTTTTGCTTTTAGAAGCTTTAGTTTCAAGCTGCACTGTCAAACTTCTTTGTGCAGCAACAAACTACACAAACACACATTTAAATTCTATTTTAAACAGGAGCCCACCTTCTTATGCAGCTGCTGAATTCCACTGGTTGGGCACTTGCAGCTCTCCAGATTATTTGGAAAACTTAAGAGTGAATAATACGACAGAGAGCTTTCAAGACATTTGTGTACTCTTGCACTGTTGTGAGGCTAATCCTGTGCTCAGGTGTATCGAGGGGTGGGAGGGAGGATTTGTTCCCAGCCTCATTGATCCCCTGGCTGGTACTTGTGATCTGCCAGGGCAATGCTGACTGGTAACTGTGGCAAAGGTGCCTGTGTAAAGGTCAGTGCTGAAGTTTTGCAAATGGATTCAACACACACGGCTAGTGGTGGTTAAAATTAAAGGGAGCCCACGAGGAAGAGAGGGCATGGCAGGGTCTGATTGCAAGGAAAAGCTTGGAGTGGGAGGGCTGGTCACTGTGGTTTCCCAAACCATGAATCACAACTGGGGACAGTCCCTGTCAGGCTCCTCCATCCCTATAAACTACAAACTCCAGAGGCATTTCTGGGTGATTTCCTTTACATGCCTGGGCTACTTTCTGTGCCTCCTTTAACTGCACACACAATCACAGTGCCTCCAATACATCCTCACAATGTCTTCAGCCAGTGATGGGACCATTTTGCAGTGAAGATCTGTGCTTGAGCAAAGACCTCAATGTAGTTCCATAGTTCCTGTTTAATACCTGAACCACTAGACTCTTTGGTTTTCTCCCCTGATGAAATATTTAGACTGGTGCAACCAGGAGTTTGCTTACAGCCTGGCAGCCTTATCCTTACAGCAAAGACAGCTCAGTCCCGGGGACCACATTACTCATTCCCAATCTGCCTTAATACCCTCATCCCTGTTGAGCACAAAAAGCTCATCCCACCTATAACCTAAGGGAAGGTAGAAAAGGATTTTACCTGAGCTGACCTTGTCGATCCAGAAAATCCTGCTTAGGTAAAACCACACCTGGGCTGGAGTGGACCACAACTGGCAAGCGATATTCCAGGTAAGCTGTCTTCAGCCACCAGTCTGAGAGCTGGGATGGAAAAAGAAAACATGCAGGGAGTTGCTGCTGCTGCTGCTGTCCAACCCAATTCTGGCTGATGGGTCTCAGCATCCTGCCCCTAGTTCTGTCCCACACTTTGCAAACAAAGGGGTTTGTACTATGCAGGTAGAAGGGGAAAGGAGGATTTGAGCAAGGGATGGATGGCTTTTGGTGCAGGGCTTGAGCAGAGGGTTTCCTTCAACTTCTTGAAGCAGCTGTGTGATGCTGACAGGTTCAAGCCTTCAGCAGCCAGAGGCAGGGCCAGTGACTCCCTGCTCTGCCATAATCTCTCTGCTCATCCAAGCCCTGGTGAGGAGTTTGCACAGCCTGGGGAGATCAGCAGCACATTGGTCAGGAAGTTGATGCCATTAAAACACAGATACCAGTGGATGCAGCCAGGACAGGGAAGAGATGAACATCACCCCTCCACCCTCCCAGACCAGAGCTGGGCCCGGAGCCCTGACCTACCCAGTTCTCTGTTTTCCTGGCTCTTCTCTCCAGGCCTTTCTGCAGCCTCTCTCCGACGCCTCCCGGCTTGCGGAACTCGGCCACGAGCTGCTGTGTGTGGCTCAGCTCCTCGGGGCTGATGATGGGCTGCAGGGCCAGCAGGTACCGGTCCAGGGTCTGCTGCAGGGGGGGCACGGGCAGCTGGGGCAGCGCTTCCTGGTGCAGCTGGAATCTGCCCACAATCTTGTTTAGAGCTGTCTGCTTCAGCAGGCCACAGGGCCTGGCCTGCAAAGCACAGAGCAAATGTCGAGACAGAGCTTCCCCCGAGGTAGCAAAGAACCTGGATCTAGGAGACCCCATCCCAGCCTCTCTGTGGGCACGTGGGTGTCCCAGCCTGGGAGCAGAGCATGGCTGTGTGCTGGAGAAGGGTGCAGGACATCCAGGAAAGCTGTGAAAGAGAAACTCCATCTCCAAGATACCTATTCTCAGCTCCTCAGAGAAAATGCTGCCAGGATAATGACACATCTCCCCACTCTGTGGACACCTTCCAGCTGAGAGTCTCCATGTGATGACAAAGTCAAACCCTTCCATCCCATGGTAAGTGGGAAGAAAGTTGTGAAAAAAATAATCATCTTATATACTATCCGAAACTTTCATTATTTCTTACAAAAGCATAAGGCTAAAAAAGCAGAACCCTTGTGCCAAACCAAACTACCCTTTTGGCTTTGAGGAAGCAGAATTTAGCTAAGTTTGGGGTAGGATTAAAATGCCTCTTCTCTGTCTATTCAGGAAACTGTGGGTGAAGCCAAAAGGCTCCTGCGATCCAACTGGGTCATGTGGGTAAAAAAAGCACCAACCACTTCCCTGGCTGGAAAAATATAACAGAGCAAACCCAAGTGCTCACCGGGAAATCAACTCACCAGTTTTCCCCAAAAAGAGTAACAACAACCTTTTGGATGAACAGGGTTGCACATTCTTCAGCTTGAAGATGTTTCAATAGTACTCTCAAGGTTTCCAGTTCCCTCTGTACCTCCCTCTCCCATGGATCTACAGAATCAGACACTCCTGCAGGACTCTGGACTTTGCATTGTCAGTGTACTGAGAATGCAAAGCCACTGAGAACACTCCCTTTGACTTCCAAAACAGTGAGAAAACAGCTGTCCCCACACCTCCTCCCAGCAGTTAAGCACAGAGAAGGAAGAGCTAATCTACAAGGTTGTCAAAGCCCCCCAGAAACTGCCCTGTTTTTTGGGCAGCTGGGTCTTTATGGGACCTGAGAAGAGCTGTGAGATTGAGGTTTGCCGAAGGAATGAGAAAAACAACAGGAGGAGGAATTACTGAAGCATGAAAGAAGAGTGGGACTGGGAGGAAATGAAAGGTGTTGATGACAGCAGCTTGGGCATACTGTACCTTCTGTGCTTGCTTCTGCTTCCTATCCATGGCCGGTAGGACAGAACAGACCGTAAAGCTCTCCCTGGGCCTGTGTGGGTCTCCTCTTCCACCTGACAATGTGCTGCCCCTGCAGGGCGTCACCTCATTAGCCAACTGCCACATGACTGCTGCGACCGGAGGGCTCCAGGGCTGGCACAGCCCCGGCAGGCGACGGGAATTATCAGATCACTGGATTGCGACAACTGCCCTCAAGGTGCCCCTCCGGGCAGCTGATCGATACCTGGCTAGAGCCTCTCTCTGACCAAACTCTGGGCTCCAGCGAGGGCAGGAGTGGGGATGTTGTTCCTTCAGCCTTTGCCTGGACCATGAAACTACTGTGGCTGTTGGGAGAGGTACTTGGACATAAGGCAGGAGAGACCCCAGTTTATGTCCTGGAAGCCACTGTATGTTAAAATGTGGAATGCATTTGTTACCTTCCCTCTTTTCTGTCCTCTGCTTGTTTGGTTTGGGGTTAAACTCAAGGATTTGGTGGGAGAAGGAACAGTGATCAGAGCTGAGGGGGCAGCTGGCAGCAAACAGAGGAACAGCCCAACCCTAACACAGCAAAGAGCCTCTTCCAGAGCCTGCAAAGCTGGTGGGAAAGGAAATCCACCTACTAGGGGGCAGAAGGAATTTCCTAGCTGATTCTTAGCACAGCCACAGAATTGAGCACCAGGATGCCAGAGGTTTGTCTTTTATTTTCAAATCATAATCTGGAGTGCCTCTTAAGCCCAGAGACAACTGGGTGCCCTGCCTGGTCCCTCAGTAACTGTGAGTGGATCCACACTGAGGCTGCTGTTCTGCTGCTCTGTCTCCTCCTGTCAGGACCAGAGAGGGACTGCAAAGAGCAGCTCCCAAGCCTGGTAGGGGTCTGACAGCTCTGCCCTGTGTGCAGCAGGATGGGCACGTTGGGAAGCACTGATGCCATCTGCCTGGGCTTCCCTGGCCCCTCCCTGTCCAGCAGCCACCTCCCTGCTGTCCAGCCCCAACTGGACATCCCAGTACAAGACAAGGCACTGGTGGAGAGGGTCCAGAGGAGCACATAAAGATAATTAAGGGACTTGAGTATCTCTCGTATGAGGAGAGTGAGAGACTGTGAGTTCATCCTGTTTAATCTGAAGAAGAGGAGGCTGACAGGGAATTTCAACAATCCATATAAATATCATCAAGGTGGGCGTCAAGAGGGTGGTGCCAGACTCCCTTCAGTGGTGCGCAGTGACAGGAGAGGAAGCAGTGGCCACGAAATAAAACACAAGAAGTCTGCCCTGATTGCGAGGAATAACTTTTTTACATTGAGGATGGCAGAGCACTGTCCCCTAGTGCCTGCCCAGGGATGGTGTGGAGTCTCCCTCTCTGGAGACACACCTGGACACGTTCCTGTGTCACCTGCCCCAGGTGACCCTGCGTTGGCGGGGGGTTGGACAGGGCGATCTCCAGAGATTCATCCCTTCCAACCCTGACAATTCTGGCACTGTCATCTCCGCCCCGGACAGCTTTACCGTGCACGCTGCCGCCAGGCACAGGAAGAAACCAGCGGGCCTGGGGGACTGACACCGGCAGGGTCCCTGCCCCGCTCCCGGGGAAGGTGGCACCGAGCCCATCCGAGCGCACGGCCCTGACCGGGGACCTGGGCTTGTGCTCCGGGCCGGGGCGTGGGGCCGGACCCGACAGCGGCACCGCCGGGAGCGACCGTGTGCGCTGCCCCCGCTAAAGGCCCCGCACGGCCCCGGGCTCGCCGCCGCCCACTCTGCCCGCTGCCCGATGGAGCGACCCTCGACCGCCACCTCGCGCCCCGTCTCCGGCCGGTCCTGGCGGAGCCGCCCCTCCCGGTGTCGCTCTTACCGCAGCCCTGGCCACTAAGGCGAGCATGGCCCCGCGCCCCGGGCCCGCCGCAAGGACACCCCGGCCGCCGCCGCCGCCGCTCCACCGCCCCGGGGCGGGGCCGGCCCGCCGCCATCTTGGAGTGGGGCGAATCCCGCGGTGCCATCTTTGGGAAAGGCAGAGTGATGCTCTGAGCGGAAGGAGCGCCGCGGCCGGTGGCGGAGCCGTGCTGCGGACCCACTCTCCGCTGCCTTCTCCGGGAGATGATGAGGAGGGTCCTGTCTCTCGCCCCTCCGCTGCCCTGTGCGCACACCGTCCCTCCCCGGTGTGGGCAGAGAGGGCCGCGCCCTACACAAACATGGCGGCGTGAGCACGACGGTGGCCGGCAGGGGCCGCTCCGCCGTGTGACAGCCCCGGGAACGACAGGGCCGGGCGGCGTGCCCTGCTCAAAGATGGCCGCCGGCGGCTTCGGCGTGCGCGGAGGTGGGAGGTGAGGGGCGGCCGGGCCGGGCTGCGGGAAGATGGCAGAGAGCGAGCGGCGGGCAGGTGAGCGGCGGCCGGGGGGCTCTGGGAACCAGCGGGCTGTGGGCTGCGCTCGGGGCCTCTCAGGGCCGTGCTCGGGGCCGGGGAGCGCCGGTACAGGGCCCCACGCTCCGGGCGTGCCGGGCCGAGGGCGCCGGGCCCGGCTTGCGGGGGGCGGTGGCAGCAATGCCTGGCCCGGGGAGGGGGAGGAAAGGGGCGATTTTCTGAGAGTGTGAAGGACATGGGGCCCCGAGTCTTGGCACCACCCCAGGGCGAGGTTGGTGGTCGGGACTGAGGTTCTGGATCGGGGATCCCTGTGACCCCCAGCCCGGATTTGTGGCTGGTTCTCTTTAACTCCCGCTCCTCACACCGTGACACGAGCCTGAAAGTGCCTCCTCTGTCCAAGCTGCTGCTCGTCATAAAGCTGACCCGCCGTGCTCCGTCATACCAGGCTTGGACTCCTATGTACTCATCCCAGACTACTGTAACCCCTGCAGCCCTCACTGTTTCCTTCCTTGAGTATTCCTGGTCTCCTCACCAAGAGGAATTGCACAAAGTGTGGGTCGGAAGCAGTGATGGCTGAGAAACAAACACAAAGAGAGGAAAGGAGTTCTGTTAATGGCAAACACGCAGATCAGGACAGTGCCCTGGGATTTATGTGTCACCTGTACTGATGGACACATCAGTGTTTGCCTTTTGAGTTCACTTCTTGGGAGTTTTTCATTGTTTTCATGTTATAAACTTAAAAACAGAGCTCCATTGTTGTGGTGCCAGTCACTATGAATTTTCAGAAGAGAGACATGTGTCTTTAATTTAAATTCATCACATATTGTTCCTCTCATCCTCCTACCTGGGAGTTTTGCTGTAACTTCTGCAGGAATGAACCGAACATTGCAACGTTCAGGGCAGGAGATGAGGCTGAATTTGTTCTGTGCATGGGGAATGTGAAAGGCAGAGAGAGAAGTTAAATGGTTGTCAAAGGTTGTATGACAAATCTACAGTGGACTCTGGGTAGTTCCTGGGACTTTGGATCCCTTTTAATCTGATCTTGCTGCTAGAGAGCATTGTGGAAAAGGCTGCTGATGGTTCTGGATGGTGTTTTCTATCTAAATGCAGTTGATGATATTTTAAGGAGTTGGAGTTTGGTGGTGTTTGTTAGGGAGACAGTGCCTGAACTGGCTGGGTTGAGGACAGCAGTTGCTGGAGTGTGTCAGGGCAGCTGGTGCTGCATAAATACCTGCAGATTTTCTGGGTTTGAAAAGGTGAACTGAATGACTCTGACAGAATTCATAAATTGACATTAGTAGCCAGGTTCTTTGACAGTGCTCTCTGCACTGCCTCTTCCTATTAAAAGTTGCACTTAAATGAGCATAATACAAATTACTTTAAATCTCTTGGAACTTTTCTGGTTCTGCAGGTTGGGCCCTGGGTTCAGATGCTGGGGAAAAGATCCCCTTTGATTCATTAGCAGCTCACATTTGCATTAAATATTGCATCCTAGGCTCTGAGAGGGCTTTGAAATCAAACAATCTTCACAGCTTCCACCTGGAAGAGGCTGTGTCCCATCATCCCCCAAGTCCTGGACCAGAGCTGTGGCTCTGGGCTGCCTTTATTGCACTGCTCCAGCTTGTCCATGCAGGAATTATCCTTTCTAGGGGAATGAAGGTCAGGCTTAACACTTAAAAACAAGGCAGAGTTAGTTTGTAGGAGAGCTCAGTGCTTCAGCATGACCTGAGGCTTGGCTGCACTAGACAGAAATAATTAAACTGGCTGGATGTTGCTTTTATCTCCTGCACTAGTCTCTCTGTCTGAATGGGAAATGCATCTTTAACAATGAAAACAGACATAATGCTTCTGTCTGAAGGCTTGCAGTGTCCTTAGGAGGATGTTGATGAGGAGGACTTGGTGAGATTACAGCCCAGCTGGGACGGATTTGTGTGCTTTATATCTCCCGAGAAATAAAGCTCATTTCTAAGTGAGAAAAATACAGGATTTCTCCTTCCCCAGTGTCTCTGTTTTATCTCTTTTTTTGCATCTCCCAGGCACCTCTGAGGAGGTGGCTCCTCCTGTCCAGCAATGCTTCATGGTCCCCAAAAAGGAGATAAATGTGGTTTCTGACATGGCCAAGTGGAAACGATCTCAGGTATGGCTCTGGGGACAGGGAATACTGGGAAATGCTGCTGATCTTTTGGTGGCAGCCAGGTCTGGTCTGGGAACAACCAGGAACTAAAGGAGGCTTGGGCAGAGAATGGGCAATAATGGAATTTGTGTTTTAAAGAAGAAGAGTTGGTGTTTGTTTGTAGGAAAATTACTTGGCAGTAATGATTACTGCTTCCTCCCAACAAGCTGGATGAGAAGCTGGTGACTGTTTCATCCTTCCTGGCCTCTGCTTTTTAACCAAACTGGATTTACCCAGCCCTGTTTGAGCTCACCTTAAACATGCTGCCTGGCCTTAGTAGCACCAGCCTGGGTTGGTTCCTTCCCACTGTGCTGTTCTGGAAAGGACTCTAGTGCTGAGCCCTTCAATTTCCTGGGTAATTTTTGTTTACAGCTTGTGTGGAGCTGGTGGAACAAGCAGGTTCTCTCCTCTCTGCCTTTGAGGGATTGGGGTGTTGGCCCAGACTTGTCCCACCTCTTAGGAGCAAATTCTTGCTTGATGACTGATGAGAGATGTCTTGAGGGAAGCTGAGGTTATAGCCAGGTGTCAAACAAACCTCTGGGTGCAGCTTCCAATTTCAGTCTCCTGGGTTTAAGGACTCGCTCCTGGTCAGGATTTTGAGGCAGGGAGGGAGAAGTGGCAGTGTGCTGCTGCAGAGCTGCACTGGAGGTGGTGCTTCCAAAGCAGCAAATCTAAAGAGAGGAGGAGTGAGGAGCCTGGGCTGTCTCCCACTTCCCTTTTGTGAGCACAGGGGAAGAGTCCAAGGTGGAAAGGGAAGGCAAAGTACAGGACTGGGAGGAGCAGTGCAGAGCACCATGCCTGGGCACAGCTGAGACTCTGCAGAACTGAGGGGTTTGAATTTGACCTGATGGGAGCTGAGGGAATGATTTTGGGGTCAGTGTGAGCATTTTTAGGATTCTCCTTTCTGTAATTTTCGCAGCGATGCAATTGCTGCCTGCCTCCTGCTTCTGGGGCTGCCAAAAAGAGCAGTAATTTCACAGCAAGCCCTGCAGCCCCGGGTGTCTCCAAGGAAGCTCTGTTGTGTGTTGGGAGAGGTTCCCTTGGGGTGTAGGATGCTCCTGTGCTGTGCTTTGTGCTCTGACAGACCCTGGGCTCTCCCTAAAGCTCTGCCCTCTTGGTGTTTTCACAGGCATATGCAGACTACATGGGCTTCATCCTCACTCTGAATGAAGGTGTCAGGGGCAAGAAGCTGACCTGTGAATACAAAATTTCAGAGGTAGGACAAGAGTTTGGATCCCCTTGTTACTTCTTTCCTGCCTTTTTTCACCTTCTTTTTTTTGGCTTTACAGTGAGTATTTCCTGGGTGAGGAGTGAATCAGTAATTTATCTGGGAGCCAAGGGAGATTGAATGTGGTTGGGCTGTGGTTGGGAATGCAAATGTCAGGGTGCCATCCTTCCCTCAGGATGCAGAGACTCTGGATGTGCTTGGTGGATGGGAAATTGAGCAAGTGGGCAGAGGCAGAAGTGATGCTTTGAAGATGTGATATTCTCTCCTGGTTGCAGGCAAAAGGCTGGGATATCTCTGCCATTCCTGTCCTCCCAAGTGGTTTTTCTGTACAAAAATCCATGGGCAAAAACTTCTTCTCAAACCACTTCTCTCCCTGTCCCTTCTCATTGCCCAGACTGTTTTAATTGCACCCATCTCCTCAGCCCAGGCTGTAGCTGAGTTGTGCAAGCTCTGGTTGGACAGCTGTGCCCTCAAGGTGTGTCACCAGCTGCACCTGCCTTGCCCAGGGTCCTGCTAAAGGTCCTGGGGCCTGCAGAGCTCACAGGGCTGCTGGGTTGGGCTGGGAGATTTCAGCTGGGCTGGGAGGTGGCAGAATCTCCCCTTTAAAGGTGTTGAGCAGAAAGCACCTGGTTTTCCCTTTGCATGAAAGTGGCTGTCACTTGTCCCTGCCTGCTGCCAGAGCCAATTTTAATGGGTGTTCACCTTCTCAGGGCGCAGTGGAGCCAGAGGGAAAGGGCAGGCACCCTCAGTGGTGTCACTGCTGCCCTGAGGGCTCTCTGGGTGCTGCCAATCCACAGAGTGCACACTGGCCACAAGCTTTGCTTCCTTGTTGCACGCTGAATCCCCTTCCCTCGGTCTGTGCTGCAATGAGGAGATTCTTGGATACATTTTTACTGATCAGGGCTGTGCAAGAAAGCTGAGAGTGATGTATAAAGATCTAGGCAAAATGGGGGCAGACTGGGCCCTGTGTTTATAGCTTCATTCTGGTGTGGGAAGGCAGCTGATGGTGGTGTTTAATCCAGTCTTCATGTTTGAAGTACTGTGTTGAGTCCAGCCTTCCCTTCCAGGAGCCAGTGTGAATGAGAAACTCCCCTGTAGTTCATGGAGGGGATCAGGGATAATGAGTCTCTCCCTAACAGGCTTTGTGCCCCTCTTTTGTTCCTTCAATTAAGTAGAAACTGCTGTCAAATGCTGCTCTTGCTTTTTGCTGTTTGCATTTCACCTTTGAGTTTTGTCTTTGTCATGATCTAGCTTGTTCCCAACCATTCACAGAGCACTTCTAGGGAAACAAAGCATTAAAAATGAACAAAACAAAGGAGGGGGGGAACCCAACCCTCTTCACAAGCCCTTTGAGCTGTCAGGAAAAGCTGTACCAGTGCTGTGTCTGCAGAAGAGCCCTCTTGGAGTGAATGTTTTCCATCCATGGTCCCAGTCCAAGTAACAAACAAGAGACACAATCCCAGCTGCTTGGGAAGTGGCAGGGAAAAAATCTCATTCCCTGCACACTGAGGAGAGCAGAAGCCTGAGACTTGAGGCACAGGTGGAGCATCCCCAGGGTTGTCTTGTTGATGAGGTTGCTTGTTCACACAGGCTCCTTTGTAGATCAAACTGCTTATCTGTGCTTTTAAAGGCTCAGCCCCTCGTGGCCTCTTCTTGCATCTCTGCTCAGCTTTCTTCTCTTTTGCTGTACCTGCTACCAATGTGCTTTTGTGCCATCCCATCTTCGTCCCTGATCAAATGCCAGGGACACCTTCCTTTGGCAAATGACCTCCTGAAATCCTTCCTGCTGAATGCATATCCACTCTGTGACTTACTGGTATTGCTTTGCCATGGAATAAAAAATGGAAGTATGGTGTGCTGTGCTTTGAAAGAGGCAGCTTAGTGGTTTCCAAAGAGTGTGTGTCAATATCAACCTTTCTGCTGGATCCTGTGGGGGCTGAGCCCCCTTGGAGACTTGCTGAGCTTGCTCTGCTCCTACTGACACATTGTGTGGAGCTGTCCAGGGTTTGCTGCAGGCATCTGACAGGCACTGATAGCAGACTCTGGCACAGACACTGTGTCTGGCACAAGGCTGTGTGAGTGATAGGCTGTGACCTGCCTTCCCCTCCTGGAGGGAGTGCTTTCCACGTGGGGATCCATCAGCAACTTGCTGGGGCTGCAGCCTGTAGCAGTGCCTTGGATCAGAGGTGCAGTGCTGTGAGGAGGATGAGGTTAATTTTTGCCATGCAAGGAGCAGATCTTCCTGTCAAACAGCCCAATGCACTGGGGGAAACTGGTCGGTCTTGTGGCTTGCTCTGCTTCCAGGAAGGAAGTGGGGGAAGCAGCAAAGGCTCTGATTTTATCAGCTCCCCATTCTGACAGGGCCTGAGGAGCCCAGAGGGGGAGAGTTGGTCGCCACAGGCAGCTTTGGCTGCCGTGATGCCTCCTCAGCACCTCTGTCTGCCTGGCCCCTGCTCTTGAGAGCTGCTGACAGGTCTGTGCTCTGTAGGAAGCCCTGTGGTTTGCCTTTGGGACCGGTGGCAGACTCAGGGTCAAGGAGATGCAAAATCAGCACAACGAGAAGAGCAAGGAGAGCAGGGGGGAGGCTGCCCTTGCTTTGATCACTGAAAAGGTAAAGCAAAAATAGAGCTTAAAAACCCAGCCAGGCAAAACAGGCTGCAGTGGTGCTGATGGCTGTGTCCCCATAAGCTCCTTTCTCCCCCACAGGGGTCAGCCCTGGATGTACAGGCTTCCTCTGCTGGACAATGGGAAGCTGCTTCTTTTAGTTACCCCCTTTTCAAAGGGCCTTGAGCCCAAAATGAGCCACAGCTCTTTAATTATTTATTGATGTGGCTGAGCCAGCAGCTGGGTCCTGCTCTCCCGTGTTCAGTGGAGCTGGGCTTTTAATCCCTTTAAAGGCAGTGAGTGGGGAAGGGGAGGTTGGGCTCTCTGCTCCCCAGGGAAGGAGCTGGTCCATGCCAGCCATTTATCCAGGCAGCACCGAGTGCTCGTGGAGAGGGTTTGAAATACGGTGGCTGCTCATAATGAGCTGCTGGTGCCGGCGGATAAATCACCAGCACGATTTAATTATTTAATGCAACCCAGTGCTGGGGATGCTGTTGCTTAATTGGAGGGGAATGCAATAGCCAGGAAGGAGTAGGACTGAGTCCAAACGTGGCCCAGTGCAATGGGAATGTGTTTGATTCCTACAGTGTTTCGGGAGCAGGGAGCTGATGCAGAGGGGGCTTTGGTCCACATGGATGTGGGGCACTGGTCTGTTAGTGCCTCCAGGGTCACCCAAAGCTTTAGGCTGTCTTGTCCCTTTTTTTGTCCTCTCAGTGTGTTCAGGTCTTGTCCCGGTCTCTGGTCTGGCTCAGTGGCCAAATGTTGGGGTCCTGGTGTGGGAGGATTCCCACCATGTCCTTGGGGTGGCACCTCAGGAGTCACTGTCTGGGGAGGGCTGTGTCTGACCCTTCCCCCCAGGAGTGACCTGCAGCTGGTTCAGTGGCAGCACAGCTCTGCCATGCCTGGCTCTGCCCACCCCCTCTGAGTGGCACTTCAAGGGCTGGAAACTTGCTGGGCTCTGCTGTTTCCTTGTCCTCCCGACAGCAGCGTGAAGAATTGAACCACAACCCAGGAGACCAGCCAGCTTCACACGGTCGATGCCTCCAGCAAAGTCAAAGCCGCCGCCGCTCCTGCTGTCCTCTTTGTCCCCTTGAAGGAGGAATCCCCTCTCGAGACAGAGGAGCCTACATTGCCCGGGGCCTGGCCAGCTGCTGTGGCGGCTGATGGCTCTCCAGCTGCTTGGAGTCAGGCAGGGAGAATCCCAGAGCCTCTGGCAGGCTTGACCAGTTGTCAGCAGAGCCTCCTGAAACTGTCTGGAGCTGCTAAAAGTGCTGCCTGTGGTGTTGCCTCTTGGTATAGGGGGGTGTAGCTGTTCTCCAGCCATTTGGGCCAGGCAGGGAGATGGTGTGCATTGGCCAGCTCTGGTCTGACAGCACAACTGGAGACATTGTGCTGTGCCATCTGCTGCCCCTCTTTTCCTTCCACATGGGTCCCTCACTTCCAGCACTGGGTGTGAGAAACATGGCTGTGGTCTTGCTGTTGTTGCTGTCTTCCCATCAGCTTTGTGTTTGAATTGAGACATTTCTCTGAGAGTTTCTCATTCCTGTTCTGATGGGAGCACTGGTGGGCTAACCAGGCTGCCTCTTCCCCTGGGTAGGTTGTATTTTGCCACATGCAGTGGGTGTCCCTGGGCTGGAGCTGCCTGGTGGTCTGGCTGGTAGGAGTTTGAGGCAACAGGAATTGTGCTGAGAAGGGTGACTTGCTGTATAAATATGCTGTGGTTTAACAGCATCAACTGCTAATCCTGGCTCCTTAGAGACATTTCAGGACAATTATTAGAGCCTTGAGAAGGGCCTTCAAATCATATCAGCCAGTGGTGAGGATGCATAGCACTGATATGTGCTGTTTTTTATCCTATGGGGAATGCAGGACCCTTAAGATGTTGAGCCTGAGTTGTTGTGCTGAAGGTCCCTTCCCTGCCTCTCAGTCCTGTGAGGACTGTTCTGCAGCTCTTCTCCAAGAGATTTTGCAGCACAGTGCTGTTACAGCTCATGGAAGACTGTGTGGGTGACTGAGGAGTCAGCCTCAGGCTGGGCTTTGTACTGGACTGCTCTCCTGCAGGGAAAAATGGTTTTTCTGTCCCCTCTGTATTTTGGGGAGGATTGGTGCAGCCCATTTCCACATGCCTCTCTTGGGAACCATGGTGTGGGCTTTAATGACTCCCATCAAGGGGAGAGATGTCAGAGACTGAGGACTGCTCTGTTTTATGTCCCTGTGGCCCCTCACCCTCTTGCTCTCTGTAGCCCATTGAAAAGCTGGTGGCTCTGCTGAACACCCTCGACAGATGGATCGATGAAACCCCGCCAGTGGATCAACCTTCTCGCTTTGGGAACAAAGCCTTCAGGACCTGGTACGCCAAACTAGACCAGGTGAGCATGTCTGTGCTGTGTAGTGTCACCTGCAGCTCCCACAGAAGGGCAGTGTGCCCAGCAGGGGTGAGAGGATGGCTCTATCACTGTGTGGCAGCCAAGCAGCTCACAGAGGAATTGCTCAGATAAGCCTTGAAGGATCCACCCCTTGATACACATCACTTACCATAGACTTTTCCTCTTGTGAGAGCATATGGGCCATGTTGGCTGGGTCTCCAAGTTCTGGGTGAGTCACAAGGGCTGTCCAAGCCCAAGGAATTTGTAATTTGCTTTGTAATTGCCCACAAAATGAGAGAAAGATCAGGGAAAACTGCTCAAATTCCTTCAGCTCAGAGCACTTGCCCTGCACCAGGCTCTGGAGGTGGCACAGCCCCTGTCCCAGCAGAAGTGGCCTTGCAGCTGCTCTGCTGCTCCAGTGGTGCTTTTGTCCTGGAGATGGCTCAGTGGGTAACTGGTTCAATGTACTTGGGTGATGAGGCTTTTCTGTCCTACAGGATGTGTGTGGCCTGAATAGGTCTCAGAACAAGCTCTCCCTGACTTGTTCCATCTCTGGAGATGACTCCTCCAACAGGAGAATTTGCTCCTCTCTCATGCTACCTCCAGGCATTGCAGAGCACCGCTGCAGCCCTCACGCTGTGGCAGCATCTGAGCACAGGGTGCCTTGTTCCTGGGAACTGTGACAGATCTGTGCTCACCCAGGGGAGTCTTTTGTGTCTTTCAGGAGGCAGAAAAGTTGGTGTCAGCAGTGATTCCCAAGCATTTGGCTGATGCTGCCCCAGAAGTGGCTGTGTACCTGAAGGAATCCGTGGGGAACTCCACCCGCATTGACTATGGCACAGGTACCTGGGCTTGCACCCTGGCCAGGGCTGGGTTTGTCAGGAAGGGACCTTTGGAGTTGGGTGCTGTATTTATTTAAATACATCATTACTACTATTTTTAGGGCCAGCTTGAACTGAACATCTTCTTTTTAGGGCCCCCTCACCCCTCTGTCCTGTGTGGGCTGTGACTGAGAGCTGGGGCTGGGAGCTGTGCTAGAGCTGTGACATCCTTTCAATCTCATCCAAGGAGATGGGAACCAAGCTGTTCTGGGATGAGCTGTAGGACATGCATCACTGCATGCAGCAGTCCTGCAGCAGACAGTTTAAAGGGATAAAATATACTAGCTTGAATTGGAACTAGAGTGAGAGCCATGTTCATGTTCAGCAGGAGGTGTCCCTAGAGGGACATCATAATGGTCTGATGGTCCCTAGAAGGGAATTGCTGCTTACAGAGGGACTTTGAAATCTGAAGTTAGAAGCAGATGAGGAGATACTGAATTGCAGGTGAAGTAACCACACAGGCTTCAGTGAGAACTAAATTCAGAATTGTCTGCATGCTCTGCTCCTCTCTGGAGGATAGCTGTGTCCTCACCAAAGGGCAGGAGAGCAGGATGAGTGCAAGGAAACATGGCTTTGGACTTGGGCAGGGAGAGGAAGAGGAGGCTGTGGGTAAAGGCTGAAGGATTGGAGGCTGTGCAGTGCTGGCTGCGGCTCACTGGCACCAGGGGGAGATGTTGTCCTTGGAAAGGCTGGATGGGGTTTGGTCAGCTCAGAGAAGGAAATTCAACCTCTCCTCCCATCCCGTGTGTCCCAAGCCAGGGGCCCATGTCCCAGCTCACAGTGTCCAGACCATGGGTGCATTTTGTTCCTACACTGGGAGCTGCACCTGTCCATAACGTGGAACTGCCCATCTTGTACTCTCCCTTCTTCCCTGGTCCTTCCCACTAAAAGACATTTCTGGGTTTGCTGCTTGTTTCTTTTCCTTGCTGTTAGCTGGAGGGCCAAGCTGCAGAGGCTTAGCCTGAGATCCCAGCACCTTCTGGGACAGACTGTTCCTGGCAGTGTCGTGGGATCTGCATCCTTCCAACACTGGGATATTTTTGTAGCAGCAGGAAATCTGTTTGCTTGCAGATGTGAGGTTCTGTTGCATCCCCCAAGCAGATGACTCTGCAGTGCTCCACTTCCCTTGCTCTGCCAAGCTCCTGGGAAAGTCCCTGCCTTGCTCCCAGCATGCCCAGTTGGAGCTGTTTTCCCTTAAGAGCTTCTTTTCTCTAAGTTAATGATCACCTTATAAATGTCTTGAAGGTATAATTCGGATAGGTGCTGCAGGGGGATGAAATATTGTCAGCTCCTGGCATTTACAGTGACAACAGGGTTGAGAGGGGACTGTGAGTGCTGTGATTGCTGAAGAGCTGTTGTGGTGCCCACAGAAAGGTTGTCCTGGGGGCCAGAGACACCTGTGTCATGTCTCTTCTTGTCTTTTAACTCCAGGGCACGAAGCTGCATTTGCAGCCTTTCTCTGCTGCCTCTGCAAAATTGGTGTGCTCAGAGTGGATGACCAGATGGCCATTGTCTTCAAAGTGTTTAACAGGTGAGGTAATGGGAGGAGAAGGGCTGGAGTATTGGGCTGTTTGGGGGGAAGGGTAGAATGGGAAAGCTGAAGACAATTTTAGACAAAATTAGGAGCAGATGTACATTTTAATGGACTGTACACTGACCCATTATAACTGTCTCAAAAAGAGGTGATGGCCCCTTGTCTTCAGAGGCAGAGTGTCCTTCTGGAAAGTTACTTTAGTGGAGCACAAGTTACTGAACTCTGTGGGTGAGGCTCTGTGCTTTGTGATAGACAGGAATATCTGATCAGAGGATCTAACATCTCTTCAGGCATCAAAAATAAAAAATCTATGCAACTGGCAGGCCTCCACTGCTCCTCTAGATGTGTTTCCAGCTCAGAGGTAGAGTTGGTAGTGATGAAACTGGTGGAATGGGTGTCTGGAGTCCAGAGATCTAATCCCAGCTGTATCACTGTTTGGTGGCATGGAAACAATTTCCTTCTATAGTATTTCCAGCTTTAATTTTCCACCTGAAAAGTGGAAGTAGCGATTGCTGTAAGGTAGAAAACTGTGTGCTCTTTTGGAAGTTGGTGAAGGGATGTGAAGTGTCAATGTTTTCAAATAACAGTGGAGATGAGGAAGGATCTGCACAATCATAACTTTGCAGATAAAACAAACCCCTGCCACTGGATTTCTCTGTGCATTTGGTGTTAGGTACCATCAGGCTGCATTCTATGGCAAAAGAGCTCAATATATATTCTGTGAACTGTGCTGTGTGCGGGGGGTCCTGCTTACAAGTGATAAATTGTGTCCTTTGCCCAACTGGTTTTTCTTGTCCTCACAAAAGTCAAAGACAGGAGAAGGCCTTGCCTTAACCCTTCCTGTTCTCTTTGGTCTCAGGTACCTGGAAGTGATGCGAAAACTGCAGAAAACCTACAGGATGGAACCTGCTGGCAGCCAGGGCGTGTGGGGCTTGGATGACTTCCAATTCCTGCCTTTCATATGGGGCAGTTCCCAGCTGATAGGTACTAATAGAAATCTTCTTGTGTCCTGGGTTACCCTCTGTCTCATTTGTCTAGGTTGTTATGATGGGACTTGGGGCTGACTTTTAAATTCAAATATGTCAGATTTGTGTATAATACAGAAGGAGAGTTTGGGGCTTGGATTTTTTTTTTACCTCAGCTTTCCAAATAAAGCTGATTGGGAGGTGGAAAGCTTCCTTGTCTAGTACTTCAGTCTTTATTGCAATGACTGCAGTGAAGCTTTTTAAAAGGAGAATCTTGGTTTTGGTGCTAAAAAATGCAATTTCTGCTTTGTGGAGTTTTGTCCCTGCAGAGGCACTGGAGTGGGAGATGAGATAAAAGGGAGCAACTCTGTGCTGCCTTTTAAAGAGCTCTGATGGGAGGGTTGTGCTTCTGGGTGAGAGGCAGCACACCACCTGGTTGAACTTGGTCTCAGGGGGGATTACCATACGGGTTACTTCCTGTTGTCTCTTACTTTTTTTAGACCATCCAAGCCTGGAGCCTCGGCACTTTGTTGATGAGAAGGTGGTAAATGAAAACCATAAGGACTTCATGTTCCTGGAGTGCATCCTCTTCATTACAGAGGTGAGGAATGGAAGGTTTGTCCCACAGGGACATTCTCTTGACATTAGATACTTGGCTCTGGCAGAGTTTTTTTCTTCCTCCTTTGCCTGTTTGTTTGCTCTCATGGAACTGTGCAGATGAACCATTGTTGCATGGCAGAGGTGTTCTCCTTGAATGAGCTGAGACAGGGATGTTGAGAAGAAAGTGTAATTAAGCTGGATGGGCTGTGGATTGTAGTTGAAGGGAGCTGTAACAAGTGCAAACAACTTTGGATCATCACTTGGATCAGTCAGTGGGAGCTTATATGGAGAAGACTGGTTCCTGTAGATACACTAGGAAGATGAAGGGGGAGCTGCAAAATGACTGGGCTTGCCAAGACAGCCTCCCTTCCCTGCCACTCTTGGGTGCTGCCTGGCAGCTCTGGGCCTCCCCTTGCTTAGGGCAGGTTCCCAAACCTCTGTGCTGCTGTTTCCTCCAGATTCTACTAAAAGAGTTGCCCATGAAATGCATCTTATTTGCAGCTGACCTAGAGCAGAGGTGGTGCTGAGACTCCCCAGCTGGCAGCACTTTCAGGACTGTTTTTGCTCAGGCACTGCAGGGCCCTTTGGAGAGGGGTGGGTGATGCTCAGCTCGTTGGCAGCCCTGGGCTGTTTCTCAGTGAGGGAGCTCATGGCTTGCTGCCTGCAGCATCAGTGCAGGATTTGGCTGTGTTTCTCCCAGTTCCCTCACTGCACAGTCTGGACAGGGAGAGCGAGAGCTACCCACTCTGTTGTGGTGAGGGATTTCTTGTCTCTGGCAGGAGGAAGTTGATGGGATTAATTTGGAAGGACAGAGTGCAGTTCTTCCTTTTGTTCTGTTCACTTTCCCCCTTCCTCGCCTCTCTAATTTAGTGATTAGATGGGAAGGGAGGTTACAGACTATGAACTTAGCCTTTCATGTAGGAAATCTTTATAGGAGCCTTTAGCCCAAACCCCAGGAGGTGCTGTGTCAAGTCCTGCTAAATCTGGTAGGGTTTGTTGGTACTCAGCACCTCACAGGGTTTAACCCTGAATGCCAAGATAAATCATACTGTGGGTAATAAAGAGGTGCTGGTGGAAGAGATCAAGATGAGGACAGGAAACCAGGAGCCAAGATGGTCAAAGATTTATTTTAGTTTAGGCCTCTGTGATATCCAGACAGTGCACTGACCTGTTAAAAAACATACATCTCTTGAAATGTGTGTAGAAGATTCTGCAGTGCCCAGCTGACAGGTGATGTTTAAAATACCCAGCACAGTCCTGCTGCTTCAGGTCACTCTGCTTCTGCCTGCAGAAAGTCAGCTCTTTAGTAGGCTTTTCAAATAAGAGATTTGAGCTCCTTTTCTGCACGTTTGTTGTGAATCATGGAATTCAGTGTTTCTTCCGAGATCCCCAGTGCCACCTGGTGGCAAGGAGCCCTCTTGGCCCTCCTGCCGCGAGCTGAAGGGGACGGCAGCAACCTGCATCACCAAATCCATGGAATATTCAGTGCATCTCCGTGCGGGTTACTGCTTCATTTTTATGAAGATTTTCCTTTTAAATCTTGGGTTTTTTGCCTCCCAAGCGCCTGGGAAGGCCGTGACTGCCACTAGGGGGGGCGAGGCAGCCTCAGTGCCCTCCAAATGCTTTCTCTCCAAAATCAACAACAAAACAAAATAGCAGGGAAAAAAGATAGAAGGGATTAAAGACTTTAATAAATGAACGATATTATTTTCTTCTGAGCTTGTCATCTGGAAACAGCTCTCCTTTAAAGGTGTTAAACATGTAACAAACACCACAGCAGTTCCCATAGTGGGCCTTGCCGACATGAGAGCAGGTTTTGTTTCCGACTACAACTGAGGAAGGTTGTTTTCTGTCAACTGAGAGAATATTCTCTTGAGCAGATACTGTTCTCAGCCCCCAGGTGATCTTTCAGGAATATGAATATACGCTGTTGTGGTGTTTGCCAGGTGTGTGTTTAAACCTCAGGCTTTTAAAGCAGTAGCAAGATGATGTCCAGGCTGAACCCACCATGGCTTCCTCCTTAGAGGAGTGCCCAGGCACAGCACTGAATTTTGCATGAGCTGACCTGATGTTGGGAAATCTGCAGGGTGGGTTTGGACCTGAACATATGGTTCTGGAACAGGGTGAGGTTTGCAGAGCTGGCTGGGACTTGAGCTGTTCCCCTGCTGCTGCCTTTGCCTGCCAAAGGGGTGTGTGTGGTACCTGAAAGTGTGAGGATGAGGAGGGTTTGGGAGCATCCCTCTGGTGCCTGCCACACAGGGGCTGTAGAGGACAGTGATGTAGGGCTGTGGGTGTGCAGAGGAGGGGAGCTGGGTACAACCCAGCTGTTGTGGGGGATCAGTGCACTTGCCCAGATGCTCCTCTGAGCGCTCAGGGCAGGCAGCAGGAATTTCAGCTTCAATCTGGCTTCTAAATTTGGGAAGGGAGGGCTCGGGTTTCTGCTGGAAGGGAAGGAGCTGACAGGAAAGCACGGCCTCAGCCGTCCCCCTCCCCCCTGCACTGACAGAGGAACCATTTACAAAAGGCCGATTCTCTTGGGAACCGAGAGGCAGGAACGCCACGTCTGTGAGTAATTTCCTGCTCAATATGGCTGCTCTGACTCACTCCATTCCCCTGGGGTCACTGCGGGACTGCAGCGCGCTCGCCGCCTCTCGCTCTCCCCCCAGCTCTCCCTCTTCGCCCTTTGTGGCTGGAAGGAGATGATTTTTTTTTGTTGTTCCCCTTCTCTTCCCTCTTATTTTTTCCCGCCCCAGCTTGAAACCATAGCCAAGCCATCCCTTGCTGGATGTCTGGATGAGGAGGGCCACAGTGGGCATGAGCTGGGACTGGCCAGCTGTGCCTGCCTCCTTCACTCTCTGCCTTGGGAAGGGGAGAAGAGCACAGTGATGGTGGCTGATGCCAGCTGTGCCCCTGTGGAGGGCGGTGACACCGGGGGAAGGAAGGTTTGGAGTCAAAGCCCAGGCAGCCAAACCTCCTGTGTGGGGAGGGGAGGCTCTGATGGCTCAGAGCTCCCTGGCAGCCGCTGCTTTGGGCGCCCACCGGTGCCAAATCCTGGCGCTGGGTAACGCCGTGCTTTGTGTGTGTGCACGTTGCATCTCGTGCCCACGAGGGAAGCGTGTGGCAGAGGGGACAGGGAGCGGCTCAGCTGTCATCCCCCAGCTCACAGGAACCTCCAAGGGGAAGTGGAGATGCACCCCTGCTCTCCCAGCACCAGGCAGAGCTGCAGACCCACTTCCCCTGCTGCTCCAGCCCCACGGCCAGCGGGTTTGGAGCACATCACCCTTCAAACAGTGAGGTTTTTGGGTCCTCCCACCCTCTCCCTCTCTTTCTTTCTTTCTTTCTTTCTTTCTTTCTTTCTTTCTTTCTTTCTTTCTCTGCTGCAGGCTGGTGTCACACAGGCATTGCAGAAAGGCAGCAGCATTTTCCCAAAGCACATTGATTGGCCCTGCTTGCTTTTTTAGTGAGCAGAGAGGTTGTTTTGGAGGCGCTTTTCCCACCCTCTCTCCAGGCCTGTGCATGCATGGAGGGAAGGGGTTAGTTGTTCGAGCCCCAGGTCGGGAATGAGAGTCCAAGAGATTCCTCTCTCCCCACGCTCCTCTTTAGCGTGAGCTTCGGCCTTGTGGTTTCTGATGTCATGGGAACTTCGCTCAGTCAGAGTGGCTGTGTTGTATTTCTTTCTCTCCCTGAGGGTCTGTTTTTGTTCATGGAGGAGAAGGAGAGACAACCACCCAGGGAATCTACATGCAACTGCCCCTGATTGCAGCTTCCCTCCTGCCCTCCCTCCTCCAAACCCCTCGCCCTGGGAGGAGAAACAGCGGAGTATAAAAAAAAAGGAAAAAAATGTAAAGCATCTGCTGCAAGTCAGCAGCTCACAGCTCTGGAGCTAGTTTGGAGAGCATGTCCCCTCTGCTCCTGCTTCCTCCAGAGCCCTCCTCAGCTAGAGGCAGGTGTGGAGTGAGCTGTGGACACAGAGCTGCTGCCAACCTGCACTGCCCTCTGTATTCAGGGAAGGCAGTGATGGCTGTCGCTGCTGCTTGTTGTTGATCTGAATGGGGAATGAGTCATTTTCTTGGAAAGCCCAGCAGTGCTGCACTGGGAGGTTTCTGGGTAGAATAGGAACAACGTTGAGCCAAACTCTACTGGGGGGAAGAACGGGACTTATGTGGGGCTTTTTTAATACAGTCATTAAAAGGGAGGTGTGCAGAAGGAGGTCTGATTAGGAAAGCGTGGCAGGAAAAGGCTTAATTTTGTCAGGGAAGGAGGGGAGCTGGATTGCCACGGCTTCATGTGATGTGGCCACAGCGGGAGGGAGCAGGGAGGGAGGGAGGGAAGACGCAGTGAGGTGGCTGCTGCGTGGGTCACTGGGCTTGGTGGGAATGTTTGCTTGGAGAGAGTGTGAGCATGAGTCACTGCTGGTGCACGAGCTTCCTGGCTGGCCCAGCTCCCTCAGCCCTGTGCTTGGGTCTCTTTCAGATGAAGACAGGCCCCTTTGCTGAGCACTCCAACCAGCTCTGGAACATCAGCGCCGTGCCCTCCTGGTCCAAGGTCAACCAGGGCCTCATCCGCATGTACAAGGCAGAGGTGAGTGCTGTGGGCAGGGGGAGGCTGCTCAGCCCCACACCTGCTCTCCCACAGCACCCTGGGTCAGCTCCTGTGCTGCTCCAGGTGTGGGGACCCCATCACAGCCATTTGTTACTCCTTGTTGACTGTGGCTTGGGAGCCCTTGGCCCTTCAGGTGCTGCTGGCTTGAAGGAACCTTCTGCCTCGTGTTTGCCCCAAAACCAATCCCAACGTGGCCATTCCTTGCAAACATGACTTTTGCCTTGTCTTGTCTTACCATAGTGCAAGATCTCCAAATACGGGCCAGTGTCTTGACCCACTTGTTCTTCTGGTCAACCATTTTACCAGCTAGAGGAGACTTAGTTTAAATTACCATCCCATGTTTCAAGAGCCCCAGAGCAGGCTGAATGCTCCCTAATGATTTACCCTTTCTCAAAGCCCCATCCATGCCATGTGCCAGCCCAGTGAGACCACAGCCACCTCTCTGGTTTGGCCATCCTCCGCCCACCAGCTCTGCTGGCATTGCCCCAGGCTTTCCTGGTGAACCCTGACCTGCAGAACTGGGCAGTTTTGGCTCTCCCTTATCTTCCTTCCTGCTCAAGCTAACCCTGGGCTTGAGGAAGTAGGACAGGAACCTCTGGAGGGAATGGTGTTGGCTCTGCAGGACTCACTGGCTGCACTAAAGCGCTGTTGGAGCAGGGATGGTGGAACTCCCTGCCGGCACCGGCTGGGCGGGGACTGGTGGAAGAATTAATCCCACACCCTGCAGTGCTGCTGGTGTCAGCCATGCTCCTGTGGGGAGCTGGGACAAGCTCCCGTTGCTGGGACACAGAGCTGTGCTCAGGCCCAGCACAGCAAGGGGTTAACTGTGCCTGAGGGCCGCTCCCTCCCCCAGCCCTTCCTCTGCACTGCACATCCTGTGTTTAGGTTCCAGGCCACATACCTCTCTAATCTGTGAGGTGTCACTCCCAGGCCCGCTGGCTCCTTCCGCCCCCAGCTCAGTTTTCCTCCCAGCCTCCAAAGAGCAGAAGTGGGGCTGGGGGCCGACCCCCTGGCCTGGCTGCTCCTGGGAGGGGTGCCCCGGGCTGCTCCTTGGAGAGGGGGCTGTCCCTGGGCTGCAGCTCCAACACGGGCTGGAGACACTGCCTGCTGGAAAACCCTGAGCTGGAGGCTAAGCTGTGAGAGCTGAAGGGGAGACCACAGCACCGTGAGTGCCTTTAAAGTGAAACATGAGTGTCCTAAGACTTAGAGCTTCAATGTGGTCTGCTGCTGCCTCAACAGCCTTGCTGTAGTCCTTCCTTTCCTTTGGATCAGTTCTTTCATAAGCTGGGTGCTCCCCTGGCATCCCACATTCCCTGGGATGTTCATGTGCTCCTGCCTGGTACCCCACATGCCCCATGCCATGGTTGCTCCCACCTGTACAGGGCTTGGCAGTGATGAGCCCACAGTGCAGTGCACACATTCACTGATGTCTTGGGGCCAGCATGTGCTGGCAGATCTACCTGTCCCCTGGCTGGAGAGAACACTGGGATTCTCTAGAGACTGGGAGATTCTTCTTTGGTCACCCAAGACATGGTCTTTCCTGAAGGCCTTAGTCTGTTTTGAGTAGCAGGTGACTTTCAGTGTGAAAATGCTGGATCCAGTACTGCTAGGTTTCTAGAAATATCTGAGATGTAGCTGTGTCAAGGGGAAAATGCAAAAACTGCTAGGAAGGGTAATGGTACTAATTTAGGCTAAAGTGTAAAAAATGTTGAGTCAACCAAAGAGCTTTAAATTTAGGTTTTTTCCTCAGATAATGTTTATAGGTCTTAAAGGACTAATCCTAAAAACATGATCCTTGTGCAATGTTGTCCTCTCTTGCCATGCCATGGAAGTTGTGTTCACCTGGATAGGCAGAGGAGAGGGGGCACTTCTGCTCAGGGGTCCTCAGTTTTCTTTACAATAGATATATCTTTAGATATAATCTGTTCTGGGGAGTTACCTACCCTGATGCTGGCTTAGCCAGTTCCTGCCTGGCTTGGGAGCTGACAGGGGTGTGGATGTGGACAGGGCAGCATGGCTGGACAGAGCTTTCAGTTATGGTGTGCCTGGGCCTGCAGGTTACACCAACATTTGCAACTGGAGGATCTCTTAGACTGATTTTCTGGGAGTGACACAAGGTTGGGAGTCACTTAACCTTCATCCTTTGCAAACTGAATCTGTCTGGCTGTCTCAGGCCAGGCACAAAGTCACTGCTGGAGACCTTGTCTCTTTTCTGCTGGCTCCTGGTGTATTTCTGCTCTCTGTGTAGCCTTCACCAGTGCAGTCTCTCTGCAATTGGCCACTGCCAGCATTAGCAGAAGAGAAGTCAGCAGCACCCCTCAAGTACTGACATGGGTCTTTGTCCAGCTCTGTGTGGCAGAGCCTGGGATGTGTGATGGCCAAGAGAGGGAAGATTTGGGGTTGTGGTGTTGCTCTGTCCAACTGGCAAAGTGAGAGCAAGATTTCAGGTTTTATTTGTTTTCCCCTCCCTTCTCCCTGCCCCTCTGATCACCCATTGCAATTAGATCAGGTGAAATCAGACACTCAGCTGGAGGCTCCAGCTCTGTAACACACCTGGGGTGCCTGAGAAGCGCTGGGTGCTGGATGGTGTGGCCAGGACTGGGACTGAGTGGGGGCAGCAGCAGAGGAGGAAACAGACCAGGAGAAATCCCACTTGGTGGGAGTGGGGCAGCCCCCAGACCTGGCTCATCTAAAAAGCACTCCAAAGGCTTTATCTCTTCTCTGTCTCCTCTATGGGATGGCTTTAAACAGCTGACAGAAAGCTGAGGTGTGTCTGTGTGTCCAGGAGCTGTGGTCTGGATCCAGGCACTCCAGGGCAGATGAGCAGTAGACTGAAGACAATGTGTCTTCAACTCTGTGTGTTTATGAAATCCCAAATGGGTCTATTTATAATATAATGGGTGAAGATGTGTTTGCTTGAAAGTCCATGGGCTTTTCATATTCTCTCCATCAAAGGCAAGTGAAGAAGTTGACAGAATAGAGTGTGGTTAAAGCAGCAGCCTTGATGTTTTTCCCCTGAGCCTGCTTTTGAGTCTCCTGACCTTTCCTTCTCTGCAGTCAGTCAGGAAATACTTTCCATTGTAACTAATCTAGTCCCAGTTCCATCTCTAAAGGTTGGACTTGGTGCATGAATCTACTCCCCAGTTGAGTCCCAAGCAGACCTTCAGTGGGATCAAGATGGTGGCAAGAAGAAATGAGCCTGAAATTGGGCAGGGTACAGTTGAGTTGGGTACAGTTTCATCCACAGCTGATGCGAGGAAGGCCCTGGTGCTCTGTACAGCTGATAATTCAGTAAACTTGTGCTAGTCCTTCTGAATAGAGGAGGAGAAATTTCTTGCTTGTCTCCTCTTCTCCTCTTGAGCTGGTGGTGTGTTACATGGAATGGATACCCCTTCTTCCCACTGGTGGTAAAGTCTCTTCATCTGGAGCCCAAACCAGTCTGGTCTTCATGGGACTCCTTGGAGCTAATTGGGCTGACATTTTGAGCTGTCAGCATCTCCAGTGTTTGTTTCTCTCTGCTCTCCCCTCATGCCCATGTTACCCAGCCCTGCTTCCTCTGAGAGTTTGTCTTAAGTGGTTGTGTGGAGAGACAGCAGCAGCTCTGAGCATTAGGAAGCTTTGAAGGTGACATGGCCTGATGCTCACAGGACTTACTTCTCCTTGCCAAGGAGATTTGTGGTTTTCTGCCTAGCTCTTATTCCCCAGGAGTGGATACAGCCATGCTGTACTTTCACCACCTCCAAACTTGTTTGGCTCCAGTGTGCTGGTGCTTGGAACCAGTTGCCTGACCTCTGGCTCCAAAGGGATTACTGTAGGCCTGGGCTTCTGGGCACTAATCTGCCTGCTTGCCCATGATGACAGCACAAGGGCAGGGTGCCTGTGCCTGAGTCCTGCCTTGAGGTGAGAGCTGTCTGCAGCACACAGCTTCCTCTCCAGCCCCAGAGTATGCCCTGCTGCAGCAAGTCCAGTTTGGCCCCATGGAAAGCACAAGACTCCTTCCTATGGAGAGTTGTAGCCACATCATGGCTGAACACACACTGCTGAGTTCTGTGTGATGGAGTGGAGCCTGCTCTGTGCCCTCCATGAGGTTTGGGCAGTCTGAGTCTGCAGTGATTCAAAAACAAGAGCTCTGAGTGGCTCTGCCAGACAAGTGCTGGCAAACTCTGGCGTTGTTGACCGCAGTCCATGACCTTCCTGCTGTTGGCTGGTGAGTGGAAGGGGCTGTGCCCTTGCAGCCCTGCTCACCCTACACAGAGCCCTGGTGTAGCTGCAGGAAGCTCCTCTGAGCTAATCTGCTTTGTAGTGGATCTGTGTGACTGACCTGTGATCCATTACTCTTCAATGGGAGGTGGGAATTTCAGGGGTGAGGGGTTGTTAGAAATAGGATCATATCTTAAACTATGGCTGCAAAATCACTGGTGCTTGTCCATGAAAGACCTGAGAGTCTGGAATGCAGTTTGGGCAGTGCCTTGCAGCTGCAGAATGGTGCCTCAAACCCAGAGTGTTGGCACTGGCCTGGAGGGGAGAGTCTCTCTGCCCCAGAGGATTCTGCAGTTCTCCGTGTTTGTAGGGTGAAACTCTTCAAAGACATCAGCTCGAGCAAGGAGAGTGGTGAGGGAGAAAGCTGCTGACATAGACATGCTGCTTCTGCTCATGCTCCAGGCCTCCCCATACTGAATTTCAGTGAGAAAAAAGACTCTGGCTGAAGGGAAGGGGATGGGATTATGAAGTGCTACTGGCCTGAGAAGCCTGACTGGAATGTGTGGGGGAAAACATGGGGCTGATCCTCTGCCTTTGTCTGAGCTGAGTGGCCCCGAAGCCTGACCCTGCGGGCAGGATGTGGCTCAGGCTGTGTGTGTAAGGTGGAAATGTCTCCTGAATTCACCTCTCTTTATCTCTCCTCCTGCAGTGCCTGGAGAAGTTTCCTGTGATCCAGCACTTTAAGTTTGGCAGCCTGCTCCCCATCCAGCCTGTGACATCTTAAGGAGACTGCAGGAGGAGCCGAGGCAGCGGAGGCACAGCACGGCGCTCTTCCTCCTCCCCTCACCCCTCCTCACCACCCAGCCCATCCATTCCTGCACATCCTCATCGGCAACCACAGATCCAAAGCACAGGGATGGGACCTGGAGCAGCTCCTCCTGCACGTCCTCACCCTGGGGACATCTCGCCAGCGGCCGAGCCGGGGCCGCGCTGCTCCGCTGTGCCTCGTCCCTGCTAGGAATGGGGATGGGTTTGAGCAGAAAAGGCCTTCTGCTTGGCTTCCCAAGAGAAAGGGGTGTGGAGGGGAGGAAGGCACGTGTGTATGTGTTGGGCAGTGCTAACTGCAATTTCCCTTTTGAATTTCATTGGAGTTTCCTGTTGCTGTTTGCTTTGGGAAACGGCTGCGCGGGGTGAGGTGTGAGCCTGTGCGTGTCTGTATCAGCCAGCTCTGCCTGCACTGGAGGTCTGAACTGGGAAAAGGGAGTTGTAGGGAGTGTCTGTGGGTTGTGGAAGCCCAGAGTACCGTCTCTCCCTTTTTCTGGGTAAGGAGAGCACCCTCCCTCCACCTCTTCTGCAAGAGGGTCTTCCTTTCTCACTGGCACCTCTTCTCTTGGGTGAAGCTAGGAACCTTCTGGGCTGTGGGCATCTGAGCTGGCTTTGGAGCTGGAGACAAGGTCCCTGGAGGGACCCAGCTCTGTGGGAACAGCTATGCAAAGACACTGCTCAGGCCCCCTCTGAACTGGCACAAGCCCTGACACATTCACACACATCCATAACTGGGTCCAACCTGCCCTCTGCAATCCCCTGCTTTGCTGCTCTGGGGCTGGGCTGGCCTCAGTGGCACAAGGTGACTGTGGTTGCTCCTGCTTGGTCATAAATTGTAGTGACACCCCCATGGCAAAGGGATTTCCCCACGAAGCAGCAGGATCCCCAGCTCTTTGAGGGGGACATCCCTGGAGCACAGGCAGCATGAGGGGACAGCATGCAGCTTCTCATGCATTCATATACTCGTGCTGGAAACAAAAACATAAGTAGCCCAGGACAGCAGGTTATACCTGGAGAAAGCTCTTTCCCTTTGTCCTTCCCTGCTGGTGTTGCTGTGCTGGACCTCAGGCAGGGGAACCACACTTGCAGTGCCACCAGCAGCAGTGTATTGAAGACAGGTGGTGTGGATCACACCAGCAGCATCACTGGAGGGCAGAAAGGGCTGGTGCTGTTTTTGAGATGAGCTGTCTGTCCACAGGTCATGACCAAGCTGGTGCACAGCTTTGCAGCTGCAGTGGGGTTGTTTCTTCTTGGGGTTCCAGGCTGGATGTGGCAGGGACAGAGGTCTGGATTGGTGTTTGCTGGGAATCAGGAGCAGCAGGAATTCTTCCTCTGGCATTCCTGCAGACCATGAAGAGGCTGCCCCCAGCCAGGCTGCTCAGCTTTTGCTGCTGCACTGCTTTGCTGCTGGGGTGGGAGGAGGAAACATGGTTGTGATTTTTTTCTTTTTTATTATTATTTTTTCATTATTTTTAACAGACCTACTCACTCCCTCTTGTAAAGGCTTTTGCAGGCACTCAGGGGAAGGAGAGTAAAAAAAGAGTCTAAGTTAAGAGGTGGTGAAATGTCCTCAGAGCTGAAGCAGAGCTTTCTGGCACTGTTGCTGTCCTGTCTGCTCCTGGCTTGGCCCTGGGCAGCGGGTGGGGGACAAGGAGCTTTTGACCTGCCTGAAACAACTATAAACTTCTATTTTAAATGAAAATGGAAGACTGGGGTTAAGTCTTGTTTTACTGCTAAATGGGATGTGTTTTGTCTTTGCTTTTCAAATGGATCCACTCCTGGAATGTTGCTGGAGATCTGTGTGCTTGCTGGGACTTGAGTCCATCTTCAGTGGAGCAGCCTGTGCCTGGAGCAGACTCATGGTGTCTCCACCTGTGTCCCCTCACGTTGCTGTGTCTTTTGGCAGGTGTCCCCATACTTTAAATAACTGTGCAGCATCTGGCCAGCAATGGCTGAGCAAAAGCCCCTGGTTTTCTCTATCTGCCTGAGGGTCAGGAAAACATCTCTTCAGGTTGTCCTGTGGAAATGAGGCTTCCATGCAAAAGGATGGGTGGAAATTTTGACATGGATACATGGGAGGGACTCCAGGAATGTGGAATACAGCACCAAAAAAGGGTGGAGAGGTGCTTCCTTCCCCTGCAGCTGCAGCATTGCTCCCTGGGACAGTGTCCCTGGGCTTGGGACCTGCGGAGGCGGTGGGAGGAGGCTCACGCACAGCTTTGTGTTTGTTGTTCGCCCGAGTCTGCACATCTGTCCTGCTGGGGATTTTGGGATGTCAAGCAGCTAATTCTTGTTTGAGTCTTCTCAGCCCGCTTGGGATGTGCCCCTGTCACGTGGCAGCCACTTGCTTTGCCTCCCTCCTGCTCCCAGTGACTCCCCCACAGGCTCAGCTCCTCTGCCCCAGGGCTGCTCCGTGTCCGAAGCAGCACTTGCCACCTCCCCCTGTGTTGTAGGTTTAATTAAAGTTTCTGTGTTTTGCACTGGTGACTGTGTTGGTCTCTCTCAGACTGGGTTTACTCCTGCTTTGGGAGCAGAGCCAGTGAAGCCAATGGCTGGAGCCTTCAGCACAGGGAAGAGGCCCTGTGGAGGCACTTGCCATGTCGGTGGTTGACCTCGTGCTTGCACTAAAATTGATTCTTTATTTAAGTGCATGATCAAGTACATCTGGTCTGTCTTTGTGTCCTTCCAAGGTGTCTTTCTGTTGTATTGTGTGGTTTATTTATTAACTTTTTTGCTGTGTCCACCCCCCATCCCATCTGACGTTTGGCAGGTAGGTGATGTGCACAGCCTGATCCCAGGCCAGCAAATCTCTTGAAGATCAGAGACTCTTATAACCAAAGGATGTTTGAGCCTTGTTTCTAAGGCAGGGTGAGAACTGGAACCTTTTCCTTCAGATGTTTTTCCTGTCCTGCTGTAGGAGCTGACTCAGGACTTCCAGCATCAGTGTAGTTCAGCAGCTTTGTTGGATTTATAATAGACCTGGATTAAATTAAACCTAGACCTTCTCACAAGTGGTGGAAGTTATTGTAGCTGCGCTTAGCAAATGCTCCTTTTCTTGTCTCTGGGTTACATCTTCTCCATCAACACAGGCCAACTGTGTGAGCTAAAAGTGGCAGCAGTGTGGAGGGGTGGATGGTGAGCAGAAATGTCATCTTGGATCACAAATGTTGTCTTTGAAGGCTCTTGAATTCATCTTGAGCATGTCCCTCGGTGAACACGCCATGCAGTGAAGGGGAAGCAGACGTAGCGTGGGTTTCTGGCCATCTTCCCCCTCAGCCCACTGACCAAGCCATTTTCTTTAAAATTCAATTTTCAGAGCTGGATCTTTGGGGTTGCCCTACGTAGGCCAGTTTGTGTTGCTGTTTAACAGCTGTTGCCTTGCACGGGGTGCGTTTCATGAATCGCCGCCAGCCTTGCCCTGTCTCTTCCTTCACTGCCCTCCTTTAGAAGTGAACGCTTATGGCAGCCAGTGATGAAGGAAGAGTTGAAGCAAAGGGAGAGAAGCAGCCTTGTGTGGAGATAGAAGTAACAGAATAAAAATTAGAAGTTCTTGATGTCATTGCTGCTGTATTAACTTGTCCCTGGTGTGTGGCTCAGTTCCACCGTGCTGTGCTGGGATCCTGTGAGTGGATAAACGAAGCAGCCCCCACAGCAGGACCTGCAGAATCTGAGTGGGCACTTGACAAGATGAAGATGCACTTTGTACCCCAAGGACCTGGTGCTGAACCACACAAGAGCCCTGGACTCTGCACTGTGTCCCTGCAACTGCACTGGCTTCCTGAGAGAGGGAAGGAGGCAGAAATGGGTTGAAGGAGGTGAAAATGGTTGTTAATGATAACTGCTAAAGTTACCTGAACTCTCCTGCTGCCAGCATGCTGGTGGAAACCTTGTACAGTTGAGAAGCTCAAAGAATCTTCTTGCTGCTTCAACAAGGACTCCCCTGGCTCAGAGGTAGAATTTAACAGGGCTTTTGGAGGTCATTTCATGCTCTAATATCCAAGAGGAGATATCTTCATCGTTTAACTTTGCTTCCCCTTCAGTGGATGAGCACTCTTGCCATTGACATTGGAGAAAACTCCTTGAACATCCTGGGGACACACAGGGTCTTGTAAAATTGTGCCAAACTTCAAACTAGGATGAGCCAAATTGAAAAAGGGGCTGTCTCCACATCAGATTCAGCGAGGGCTGAACCGTGACGGGCATCATCAGCTTGGAGATAGGCTTGTTGTGAGGAGCACAAGGCTGTAAGCAGGTTTTGGAGGTTAGAAAAGGCCTTTCAGGGGGTGGAGTGGTTGCTTCTGCTTGCTATAAAAAGCCTGGGCTTGGGAATGTCTACATGGGCTGGCTCTGTGCAGGGCATTAATGCAGTTGTCGCTAAAATTGGAACGAGTCCCTCCCCATGTTCCCAGTTGCAACTGTAACATGGATAATAAATAACATCAAAATCCCTCATTAGAATTGGGCTCCTTAATGCTCGGTACAGTCACACCCATGGAAACAAAAAATCCCCAGGAGGGGGGTCCTGTAGGAGTGGCACTGTGGGGCCCTGACCCACAGGCACCAAGGTGTGGGGTTAAGTCCTCCTGGGCACATTTTCCTTCCTTTTAGAAAGTAGATTAAGGTTTTCCTGACACTATAAATGGAGGAAGGAGAGAAGGCAGAGGATCTTTATTGCTTCTCCTGTGTTTTAAGGCACCTGGGAGAGATAAACCCAAGCAGACTGCACCGCACAAGTCAACTACCCAGATTTTCCATTTGGACGTGAATTCGTCCCAGTTTTATGTGTGAAAATTGGGCTTTTCTTTGAGATGGTGAAGTATGGGATGCTGGACACCAGCAGCACACTCCAACAGCTGTTGGGTAGACACAACACTTCAGGTTTCAAGTGCTGATGCTGCTAAAGGATATCTGTGTTGTATTATGGCTAAAAGAGCAAAGCATGACAATATTCCTAAGAGTTTATGTGTCCTATGATGATACAAACTATAGAGAAATGACTGGTGTGGGTAGAAATTCCAGCTAGATTGTAAGATATGAGAGTAAATTCTTTTATCAAGGACTTGCTGATCACTGGAAGTGACTGCTCTGCAAAGGGCCTTACTTTTCAATGTTTAGAGCATATACCTTTAAAAATATTAGTTTAGGTATTACATACTCCCTTTGAAAAAATTCCCTTGTAGGCAAGAATAAAACTTACAAAAAGGCTGTTACAGAGATCATCAACTCTCTATTAGATAGCTTGGAATATGCTCCACTAGCACCAGAGTTTAGTCTTCTCCAAATTACTGTAGAGGATTTGACTGTATCTTGCTGATCCATCCACATTTTAATTTCCTCTGCACGGATACATATTGCAGGATGCTGGAAATCCCCAAGCCCACTGGAGCTGCAAGACTGGATGTTTCATCCTGTAACACCAATAAAATGTTAATGCATACTAATAGCAACAGCAAAGGGGTTTATGGAGCGAGCTTGGAAGTATTTTATAATTGGTAGGGTATCTGTGTCACAGAGAATTTGGGGTTAGAGTCATCAAGTATTGCACTTTGTCAACACAGGAAAAGAAAAACCCTCAAAATATACCTCAAACCTACTAATTTTTATAATTAAAGGGGAAAGATGGGAGATGAATCCCTGGGGAGAGAGTCAAACATAAATTTCATATACATGAGAGAGCTGTCACTGGTTGGGATGAATTCAGGATCTGTGTGTTCAGTTGCCTGCTCTGCCTGGAGCCCACTGCAACCTTACCTGAGGACACTGCCTCCCTTTCCCATCTGGAGACCAAGGCTAAAAACACCATCCTGCTGTACAAACCCAGTAAATCTGGGCATGGGGTGACATAAATACATCAATAAGACGAAATCCAGGGAGCTGACCATGACTTGGCTTCCAGCAGCTCATTGTGTGTCCTCTCCACCCAGCCTGGTGGTGTTGTCCTATTTACTGCAACCTGAGGTACCAAAACTAAGGAAAATCTGAAATTGGGGTCAGAAGGACCAGATTTCCTCTGTCTTTCAGGTTTCCATCTGTCAGTGTTTGGTTGCACCCCTTATCCTGCCTATTCCAAACATGTCTGGGTGCTCTGGTCGCTGCCTGTTGTGGTGAGGAGCATGGGACAGACGGGAGATCACACAGGATCAGGACAGGAATTGCTGATCCACCCTGGCTGGCACTTGGCTCCCCTCTCCTCCTGCTGGGCTGGAGCACGAGGTCTCCATGGTCCGTGGGCAGAAAGGGGAGAGCCTGGACAGCCACAGCACTGCTTGTTTTAATAGATGTGCTCCAAAACCTGAGGATTTTCCCAAGTCAACAGCTCCTAAGCCCAGGAATAAGCAAGAGGCACTGCCTGACCCTGCAGGCAGCAGTTGGCCAGGCTGAAGGAGCTCTGGATGTGAGTGCTCCTGAAACAACCTCAGGCTGAGCTAATCCAGTGGTAGCTCCAGGGGGAGAAGCTGGAGGCTCAGTCCTCCCCCTCATCTCTTGTGTGACTGAGCCAAGGGCACAGCACCACAGAGCCTGGGCTTCCATGTCCTGGCTCCTGGGGCTTTTCTGCCCTGTCCTTGCCTCGGGAATGGGAGTGGGACAGCCAGGATGCTCATGGTGCTGTGGGGAGATGGGTGATGGAGGAGAGCAGCCACAGAGCCTGGATATGGGCGTTCTGCCCTGGCTCTGAGCACACCCCGGGTGCTGCTCTACCCCTGTGCAGGGTCAGCCCCCATCCCAACCCAGTCCAGAGCCTGGACATGGGGGTTCTCCTGTGGCTCCTGAGTGCTCCCCAGACACCCTGGGTGCTGCTTTATCCCTCTGCAGGGTCAGCCCCCATCCCAACCCAGTCCTGCTGGAAGCTGCCTGCAGAGCTCTCTCGCCTCACACCAGCACGGGGCTGCCGAGATACAGCCTGTTCCTTCACACGTATTTTGGGCTGTGTTTGCTCTCCAGCACCAAAGCAAACAAGGGTGAGTTGCTGGCGTGCCCTTCCCTGAGCTGTGCAGAGCAGCCCCGGCTCTGCTGGGGGAGCTCACGGGAAAATCTCCCAATCCTGAGCGCTCCCTGCCAGGCGGGCAGCACCGGGCTGCGCTGGCAGCCGCGAGAGGAGGAGGAGGAGGAGGAGGAGGAGGAGGAGTGGGCATGGGCAATGGTTGGTGTTTTGTTCATCCTCACCAGGGAGAAGAGGAGAAACAAAAGCAGGAGCAGCGCGGGGCACCGGGCTGGCTGGGCGAGGAGGAGACAAAAATAATCCTGCAGAATTTCATCGGGGAGCTTGAAAAAGGGAGATTTTGTGAGCAAACAGTCACCTCCCAGCACAGGACTTCCCAGTCTCCAATTTCAAAATTCCATTCACATCAACATCCACTTTCATGTTGCAAAACCTGGGGAAAAAGGGAGGGAAAAAAAATGCATCTTCACATATTTCAATGCAAAAGTCTCATTTTGGTGAGGAAAAGAGGGAGAAAGCACTGCTTTGGGGGTTCTTTAT